TCTACAATTGGAAATCACTTCTTTTTTAAGTTTATGAGACCTGTTTTTCCATATAAAATCAAGAAAAATTTTATTAACACCTTTAGCAGTGCAGTCATTCACAAATAAAGAAAGTGATGGATACACAAAGCGAGAGAGACCTTCCGCTTTAGACAAGAGAACCCTCCCATACAGAGTTAGGTCTCTTTGTAGCCAAAGATTAAAAATATTTTGGGTTTTTTTAATTCTACTAGAAAAATTAAGTTGTTGTCTGTCTACTAAATTTTTTGTTAAGTGAATACCTAAATACTTAATTGTGTCTTTAACTGGAATACCCTCGAATGACGTGTCATCGCATTTATGCAATGACATTATTTCACACTTCGACATATTTAACCTTAACCCAGACGCAGATGAAAAATTTCTAACTATCTGAATGGCACTGGAGAGTTGAGTTTTATCGTGTAAAAAAAGAGTGGTGTCATCAGCCAGCTGTGAGATTTTAATTTCCCTGTCAAAAATGGAAATACCTTTCAAGTTCTGATTGTGCATAATACTCAGTGATAATAGCTCAGTAACCAAAATAAATAAAAAGGGGGAAATTGGGCAACCCTGTCTGACACCACGCTTTATAACAAATCTTTGGGAGGTGTTCATATTAACTATGACTGAACTACTAATTTCTTTATAAAACATTTTAATTACATTAACAAAGGATTCCCCAAAACCAAACAGTTTGAGAGATTGCAGAAGAAATTCATGCTCAATGGTATCAAAGGCCTTATAAAAGTCTAAGAAAAGAATAATGGCTTCAGAGTGTACAAATTCAGAGTAATCCAACAAATCTAAAATAAGTCTTATATTATTGCTGATATGTCTACCTTTGACAAATCCTGACTGTGTCTCTGCAATAATTTGGTCAAGCTTAAATTTCAACCTATTAGCATACACCAGGGCCAATATCTTGTAATCAATAGTTAAGAGTGTTATTGGTCGCCAATTATCAATTAAGAGAGAGTCTTTTTCAGGTTTTGGAATAAGGGAGATTATCCCCTGCTTCATTGAAGTAGTCATTTCTTTCTGAGCAATGCATTCTTTATACATGCAAAGTAATGGGGATTTTATTAAGTCCCAGAAATGGAGGTAAAATTCAACGGAAAAACCATCAACACCAGGGGATTTCCCTTTCTTCATAGAGAAAAGAGCAGATTTAACTTCGCCAATTGTCAAAGTTGACTCACAAAGATCTTTAAAATCATTATCAATAGTTGGAATATAGTTTTTTATAGTTTCGACAAAAGTATCACAATTATCTGAATTAAATTCGGAAGCATACAGTTTGTCATAAAAGTTTGTGATAAACTTAGAAATTAAGTTTGGATCATTGCATTTGACGCCATTAATATTTAGAGCTGTTAATGAATTTCTCCTGCAATTCCTCTTCTCTAATGCAAAAAAGTAACTGGAGTTAGTCTCTCCTTCTTCTAACCATTTGGCTTTGGATCTAATAAAAATCCCTCTAGCTAAATCCAAATAAGCTTGATTGATTTGTAAATTTAAATCTCTTAAAATTAACTCTTCCTCCTGAGTTAATGTTTTTTGCAATAACGTGTTTATTTTATTTAGGAGTTCAAATATTTTTTTATTTTTAGAGGATTTTAGCTCTTTGCTTCTTCTGATGGCAATCTGCCTAGCTTTATATTTAAAAAATTCCCATTTTGTTTTATAACCATCAGTGAAATTTTCAGAGAATATATCAGAAAATAAGTTCTTAATGCCATCATTAAAGGCCGTATCCTTAAGGAGAGAGTTATTAAATTTCCAATAACCGCGCAAACTTGAGGTTTTTCCAGTGTTACTACACAATTTTAGTCTAATTACCTTATGGTCTGAGAGGGGAGCGAAAGAATGAGAAATATCTTTTACAAATTGAAGAGCTGATGAAGAGATCAGGAAGAGGTCGATTCTCGATTGGGAAGACTTACTTCTATTTGACCAAGTAAATTCCTGCAAATCAGGGTGAAAGAAACGCCATGTATCTGTAAGAGAAAATTTCGAGCATAATGATAAAATGTTAATATTTAACTGCTGGCTATCGTTATTTCTGGGAGGAAGTCGGTCCAAGGAGTCATCCACACATTCATTTAAATCCCCACCTAAAATCACAAAAGAATCTGGGTACTTGATAAGTACTTCATTCAATTCTGAGGTTATCTGAGAGAAGAGAGACCTGTTGGCAGATCGGGAATTGAAACCATAAATATTACAAATAATAAAGATTGAATTATCCTGCTTAATCGCTAAAATAATCCATCTCCCTACATCAGAAGATTTAACTTCTAGTATGTGCCCTTTAAATTTGTGCAACAAAATTGAAACTCCAGCAGAATGATTAGAGCCATGGCTGCAATAAATTGCATTTCCCCACTGATTTTTCCAAAATTTTACATCCATATCACTTGAATGCGTTTCCTGAAGAAAAATTATATCTGACTCACTGCTTTTACAAAATAAAAAAACAGCTTTCCTCTTTACAGCGTCACGTAAACCCCTCACATTCAAGGATACAACAGAAAAAGAATGAAACTTAAAATCCATCGTACAAAGAAAAAGTTTAGTAGGCTACCTCTTGTCTGAAAAAAATCACACAAATCTATTTTGAAAAAGGAACAATATATAACCAAAATTAATTCACGAACATTAGAGTATAATCACTCAACCTCCTTGCTTGTCAGCGCAAGCGTTAGATAACGTTAGTCAAAACAAACAAACAAAAAAACGCTGTCAATAGATAATAGATTGAACGATCGAACTGAACATTGTCAATCTTTATCAACTTACATAGCAGAGTTTGCGGTTCGATCGGGGAAATAACAAAACCTAGTTTCCCAAAATGCGTTGTCTATGGATGACAGGAACCAGTCTTATTTCCTTTTCAACGAGGAAAAAGATATCCGCACCACAGAACCGAACAGGTCTATTTTACATCAGAGAAGTTGAATCTTTTCCCGTCGATTAAGGCAAATGCGCCGCGAAAGGAGGCTTTCTTTCCTTCATCCCTGGCTTTTTTAACGAGAGGCCAAAGTTTTTCTCTGGCGGCCCTATCCTCTGGTGAAAGTGCTTCCGTGAGTCGCAACTTATTCTCGAAAAGAAATTTGCAGCCTCTAGCAGAATGCCAAACGGTGTCACGAATACGACGCAGAGCAAACAGTATAATGATTGATCTGTGGGAACCGTCATTTCTTCTCTGGCCAAGACGATGTGCAATGTCGACGGCCTCCTCAAGGTTATCACTGATCCCAGGAACTACATTGCTAAGGACATCGATTGCAAGTTTCCGGACATCCTCACCATCCTTTTCTCTCACGCCATGTAACTTTAAAGTCCATCTCCAGCTGTAACGCTTACATTCACCCACCTCTTCCTTCATGGTTTTATTCATCTTTTGAAGCTCATGAATCTCCGTTGCCACAACTTTCAGAGATTCCTTGTGCGTTGCAACCTCAGCAACAAGTTGAGTCACAACTGACGACATTGCCTCAATCCGCTTAGCCGTAGATTCAGTCCTTGTGTCAATGGCAGAAATTTTCTGTAACATCTCCTCATATTTGCCAGAAAGCTCACGGATGGCCGCCAGAATTTCTGCTGATGAGTCGTCACATTCCATGCTTACCCGTTTTGTCTTTTTTGTTGGAGGTTTTAAGGGAGTATCAGGCAGAGGAGTAGCAAGAAGATCATTCAAATCTGGGCGCGAATCGAACCAGTTGTGTTCATCAGCAACAATATCCGATGAAATCACATCCACAGAGGAAACGACGCTATCGCTCCCTTCAGCAAATTGAATCGGCTGATTCGGCTCTGTAGTTGACATGGGCCCGCGTGCTGTCACGTTCGAAGTTTGCCTATTTTTCTTTTTTCCCATAGATGAATTGAGGCAAGGAGGTTAAAATGAAGAAGGTAATTACTTACTCGTTCATAAATAGTAACTGTCAAATTATAGTAATGGCTATAATCGTCCTATTTCAAAATTTCCTGACGAGACGTTCAACAACGTGTCCACCTAACACCGCGCCATCTTGGCCCCCATGCCCAGAGCCTGTTAAACTTGAGCCAACCAACCCCGTGACGCCAACTGCACAATGGCGGCGCCCTGGCGGCGAAAGATACAAAGTTTTTTCCTTTTTTCTTTTAAATGTTTACATTTGTAATGTTTCTTATATAATTGTTGATTATATTGGAAATCCATCTTGTAAATCATGTAAACTTGATTCACTGCTTCATTTCCCCTTTAATCATTTGCATTTGAATATAAAAAAAATCGAACTGTAGTCTTTTTAGACAAAAAACAAAGGCTATTATATGGCTTCAGGAGACTTGCAACACAACTCATAACACATGAGTTGTGGACCAATTTTTCAATTTAATTTTTCATATTTTTATGATCTTTTCTGTGACATTTTTGGAGATTAACACAATATTTAACCATTTTTACATAAATTGTTGCATTGAATTGAACTAAACAAGTGTACATAAGAATGGTTTCATGAATGATTTACACAGTTTTGTTCTGCTTGTCTCCTGCAGTGTAATTGAATGATGACTGGGGTTGCATTACGCCTGAGATCTGCTTTTGGGTTCCACAGACAGAAAGTCAAACAGGTTCGGAATGTCACAAGGAAATTATTTTCAGTTCACAACTATCACTTTAATAACACTGCTGACAGTAATTTTGGTTCTTTGCAGTCACCTCTGTAAGCTGAAATACAAGTTTGAACAAGAAAAATAATCCTCCTGTAGACCTGAAAATCATTGAAGTGCCTGGACCATCCACCAGTAAAGAGGAAAAACAAACGGAAAATTGTACTGTTCTAACTCGTTAACCTCACATGTCCCTTGTTAAGATTTTATTAATGATTGCATTTTATGTTTCAGCAAGTAAAGGTGCGGTCAAATTTGTGAAATTACACAGGCAAAAAAAGTCCATTGACACAACTTAACTTAATTGTTTTTTTTTTTTATTAATGTGATGTTTCCATGCATTTTGTTGAGATGTCTTTTCTTGTATACCCTATTGTATATACTGTACATTGTTGATTATTCATGTTGCTTACAGTATGTATTATACTATTTGTTTGTGTATTCTATTCATTGATATTAATCTATTAGCTTCTTTTCCCGAGTGCATGGAAGTGTATGTATTAAAATGGAGCTAAATTTTAATAAACAATTCTTACCTTGTATTTGGTTCAGTTTGTTTATAATAATAGAAGTTAATGCTAACCATAGTAACAACATGAAATAGTAATAATAAATAAATAAAAATTGGTTCCTGGAGGCACCCAAAGCGGTTCCATACAGTGCCTAAGAGTTCCTCAGGAAACCTGGGTGGTTCCTCAGAGAACTGTCCCTTTTTTAAAGGGTTCCTAGAGGATCTACAGACGGTTCCGCCGGCGTGGCAAAGTGAAGAACCCCAAAAGGTTCCTCCAGGCACCTTTTCTTTTTACAGTGTATAAGCACTATTAACTATAAAACATGCTGTTTTAAAACATTTAATAGTAGGAATGCATATATATGATATAGGATATTGCCGTGACCAACAAAAAGCCTTATTGCTTAAAAAGCAGAATAAAAATGTTTTATATAATCCCATGTTGCTCTTTCATCTGATTTAATGTAGATCTCAGTGCTCCAGTTTTCTTTGTCTTGCCATGTTCTTCTCAAATCCATTGCTGTCATCATGAGTGCTAGAACAGAAATCAGCACCATCACTAACAATGTCTGAGAAAACTCAAAACCAGTCTAACTATTTTACAATAGGCTTGAGTGAACTGATCTGAAAATGCACTTACAGTTTTCTGGTTTGTTCAGAGTAGACATCATTCTCTGCAAAAGGGAAAATTGCAGATAATTTTCATTTGTGACCGCTCCACACTGAAAAAAATATTTTCCCTCAACATTTTTAAGGTAATGGTTCACATCTAACTTGAACCAATGAAAAATAAATAACTTACCCTAACCAATATTTTCTATGTCTATGAAAAGTTTTTTTTTAAAACTTGGTACAAAGTAAATATTTCATGTTGAAGAAAGTCAATTAATTTAAATACTTTTTTGATCTAAACAATAATCTATAGATTTAATTGAAACAAAACTTCTCATTTAAGAAATATGTATTAGAAATGATTTATTTTCTCCAATCAAATATATATAGATTTAATTAAACAATGATGTATCATTTTTAAAAATAAATGTTAATAGAAATTATTCATTTTAAACAAACAAAAAGATATGAATTTAATAAAACATGTTTCCCATCAAGGAACATTGCTTTATATTTGATCGATCCAAAATCTAATAAATAAAAAAAGACAAATAACTTGCATTGCAAAAAGATTTATTAACCAATTTAAACACATCAGCAATTTCAGTGCTCAAGTTTCATATTTTAACTTCAAGGGCTGCCAAACATTGACCTTACAACGGCCTTAAAGGGATAGCTAATTCATTGAAACAGCCGAGGAAGCAACTTTTCTTTAGATTTTCTGTAAGAATCCCTCATTAAATCTGGTCAGCGATATCTGGTCAAATATTTTTTTAGTGCGCGAGAAATTTTTGTCTCTAGGCCTACCTCAGATTTAACGTTCCGGACTACATCAGCATCGGGGAATAAAATAATCTCGCTCACGATAGAGAAAGCTGCATGTGCAAAAATGACAAATGACTGAATGAATGTTAACCTTTATTGTGTCTTTATCAGCTTTTCCATAAAGCCCGTAGCTCTGGGGTCAATATGACCCCAATCAACTTTTCCGAAGTAAATAAACATGGTTCCCTTCATCTCAGTTGCATAAAATTTTGTGACTTTTCCTACATTATCTATCTACACACACACACACACACACACACAAACTGGGCTTGATTCGGTTGTTCTAAAGGTATGTAAAAAAAAAGTCACACTCAAGACCTTATTGACCCCACATTGATGTGAATGGGAAAAACAAAACAAAAAAAACGTTTTTTATTTTTCATTTGTAAAAAAAAATAAAAAAAAAATCAATTAATCCAGAATAAATCAGAAAATTCTAGATTAGAGCACAAATGCAATGTGCAATGAGCATGGTCACTTGCACACACACACACACACACACATGTGCACGCGCACATAAACACACACACACCGGTGCGACTCCAAAAGAAAGCATTTTTATAGAAATTGGCAAATAAAATCAATAATTCCAGCATTAATCTGAAAATTCTCACACATAAATGAAGGCCTGGTACTAGATCACTAATACGAGGAATGAACATTATCACACAATCATGAGCGTCACATGACTTTAATTGTGGCTCATGATACTATACCATCCAAATGATAGCATATTTTACAATCAATTCCATGCTGTCTTAAAATTAATTTATTACTTAATCTTAATTAATTTATGCAGTAATTAATCTTAGCTACTGCACAAATAATAATACCACATCTAAATGAAAATAGGCTACACCATTACAAATGTAACTTATGTATTCAAAACCTTCAAAGTTTGTAAGCATTAACTGTAACGTTAAACATTTTTAAAAGTAAAAGTTCAACATATTTCTTAATATTAGCTACTGCATGTGGCATTTTACAGCTAAAATGTTGAAGTTGAGCTATACTGTAATCATTAAAAACAGCAAAATGAATATCACTTCTTAACATCATCCAGCAAGTAACTTGCAAAGTCATTTCTGATTAATTCTGTTCGGGAGTGGAGATAAAAGCCCGCCCGCACTGAGAATTGATTGGTTGGGTCCTTACAAGATAGCATGAATCATTTGGCCCAGATCTGGCCCAGACACGTCTTTTGGCACAACGGGCCAATACCGGCACGGCTCCGTTTTCTCCTCATCTGGACCAGAACTGGGCCAGCTCCGGATTCCTTCAAGGTGATTTGGCCCAAATGTGGGCCAGATCTGGTCCAGCTCTGTTTTGGATCTGGTCCAGAATCATGCCGGATCAGGGCCAGCTCATTTTGTAGACCGTACACACACACACACACACACACACACACACACACTCGCTCTGTCTCTCTAAGAAGTACACATATCTAGAATTTCAAGAATCTTCTCACATGATCTAATATCTTATAATCTTATGCCACTGATTTTCTGTTAGGTTTTAACATGAAATACTAAAAAGTTGAAAGTACTGCTTTAGAAGTTTACACTAAAATAAACAATTTACACTAAAACACCACCTGTGTTAGCACTAATTCATAGACACTACTTCACAATAATCATGCATTAAAATTGCATAGTAAATATGACATATTCAAGGACTTTCTTTCCCTAATTCCCTGCAAGGTTAGTTCACCCAAAAATTAAAGTTCGGTCAGTAATTACTCGAGTCGGCTTCATGTTGTTCCAACCCCGTGAGACTTTTGTTCATATTCGGAACACAAATGAAGATATTTTTGATTAAATCTGAGAGCTGGATCACTCCTACATAGGCTTCTAAGGGACTAAAACTTGCCGGCCCCAAAAAGTTTTTAAGTTAAAATAGTCAAGTTGTAGTCCCTTAGAAGCCTATGTAGGAGTGATCCAGCTCTCAGATTTAATCAAAAAATATCTTAATTTGTGTTCCGAAGATGAACGAAAGTCTTACGGGGTTGGAACAACATGAGGGAGAGTCATTACTGACAGAACTTTCATTTAACTATCCCTTTAAGGCCGTTATAAGGTCAATGTTTGGCTTATAAGGTCAATTTAAATTTCTGATGTGTTTAAATTGGTTAATAAATCTTTTTGCAATGCAAGTTATTTGTATTTTTTTAATTTATTAGATTTTGTATCGATCAAATATAAAGCAATGTTACCTGATGGGAAACATGTTTTATTAAATTCATATCTTTTTGTTTGTTTAAAATGAATAATTTCTATTAACATTTATTTTTAAAAATGATACATCATTGTTTAATTAAATCTATATATATTTGTTTGGAGAAAATAAATCATTTCTTATACATATTTCTTAAATGAGAAGTTTTGCTTCAATTAAATCTATAGATTATTGTTTAGATCAAAAAAAGTATTTAAATTAATTGACTTTCTTCAACATGAAAAATTTACTTTGTACCAAGTTTAAAAAAACTTTTCATAGACATTGGTTTCATTGGTTCAAGTTATAAAATATAGATGTGAACCAGTACCCTAAAATTTTTTAATTGGATGAATGAAAATATTTTTTCAGTGCATATAAATATGAATGGCGATCTTCCTATTAATCACCGAAGTATTACTGTACCTCCTCCAGAAGAGTTGTTCTGTTGTGGCTTGTTGCATTTTTCCCAAAGCAAAATCAGTGTGACCAGGACAACGACTTCAACCACTATGGCTATGAAGGGTTTGAGAGGCTCGGTGTACGACATGACCTTCAGCTCCATATAGGACTCGCTGGGTTTGATGTCAAACTCGGCACTGCAGATGTATTTTCCAGAATCTTCCTCAGTCAGATTCAGTACAGTCAGTTTTGTTATAGTTCCATTATTAAGGATCTTGTAGTTCAGAGGGTTTGCAGTGACATTGATGAACACCTGTGAAGAGAAAAATATTAATATGAACAGTGTTATTGATAACTATAAGTTAAACCACAACTAAAAATCATTTACACTATCTGAAATAAAGATGAAATAATATCAAATATAAATATTAGATGAAAATAAATGCTGCCTTGGTAAACCTGTCAAGTAGGTCCAGTTACTTAAAGGGATAGTCTGTCATCATTTACTCACCCTCAAGTTGTACCAAACCTGTGTGAATTTCTTTCTTCTGCTGAACACAAAAGATGATATTTTGAATATATATCTTCTTCCCCCCATATACACTTACAAATAAGTTTAGGTTTAACTTGAGGGTAAGTAAATGATGACAGTATTTTCATTTTTGAGTGTACTATCCCTTTAACATTATTTATTTAATGAACTAACATTAACAATGAACAATACAACAGTAATTGTTTATAGTTCATGTTAGCTCAGGACCATTCAAAAATATAAACAGATACAACTTTTGATTTTAAAAATGCATTAGTCAATTTTAAAATGTAATAAAAAAGGTAACACTTTATTTGAAGGGGTGTGCATAAGACTGACATGACACTGTCAAAAACATGACAGAACACCTGTCATGAACATGAAGGACGGAGTCTTTATGAATGTTTATGACTGTTGTCATTAAGTGTCATTCAGTAAATTATGACACTTTTAATCCAAAGTTGACATTGTTTAAAATGTCTTTGTTATGACAACTTGACATTAACCAAGAAATCATAACCTGTCAACCTGTCACAAATATGTCATAACTAACATCAAATTTAAAGAAGCTTTTTAGCTTTGTGTTAACATTACATGTTATGGTTGGTTGGTTTTGACTTTGGCCGTAATGACACCATTATAACTGTGACATGGATATTTTACTTTTCCTCAAGTAAAGTGGAACACATTGTACTAGTTATAAAGATGTCATTAAGGGTTATTACACTGTCAAATGCTTTAACAACAGAGTCATTAATATTTCCCCTTACCGCTAGCAAAGTGGAACACGTTGGACTAGTTATGATTTCTTGGTTAATGTCAAGTTGTCATAATAAAGACATTTTAAACAATGTCAACTTTGCATTAAAAGTCTCAATGACAACATTCATAAAGACTCCTTCATGTTCATGACAGGTGTTCATGTCAGTCTATGTACACCCCTTTAAATAAAGTGTTACCAAAAAAATGTAATTCAAATGTTAATTTTGATTAATCTGGATGTGAACTGAATTTAATAAATGCTTTAGAAGCATTTTTCATTGTTAATGCATGTTTGCTTAATGTAGTGACCTAATGTTAACAAATTAAACCTTGTCTTGTTGTAATGTGTTACCAAAACTGGCTAAAAATAAATAAATATGATAGCATTTTATTTTACAGTCATATTCCCCATGTACATACGACGATGTTATCGGTACTAACCCTGAACCTATACTCCTAAACCGAACCTTAACAGTTACCTTATATTACCAGTACTTTCTTGGGTAACTACTGTACAGTAAAATAGTGTATCCATAAAAATAGGAAAATGAAAGAAAATGACAAAAAGTATACATACCTAAATTTAAAACTAAAAATAAAAAAATAAAAGCTAATTCAAAATATGAATAGGTACTATAATAGTATATAAAAAGACACTGTATATGAATAAGCATTTTATTGTGTAGTAAACAATCAATCCCACATTCCCTATTTCTGATTCACCTTTTCGGTGTTGTTTGCCTTGTACCAGTTCCACGTGTTTGGTGTGTGTTTGAGTTTACACTGGAGTACAACTGAATCTCCAATGTAGCTCACAATCGGCTTGTCTCTTTTGTCTTTCATTACCGGAACTTGAGGAAAAGCACAGTACGTCAGTTTAACCGGCAAAATCTCTAACAATGGTAAATAAGAAAACCATTCCAAGATGTGCATAAAAGGATAAACATACCATCTAAAACAAATGTTACTTGTGCCTCAATTTCTCTGAAGAGGCATGAATAATTTCCCAGGTCTCTGGTCTGTATACTGAAACTATGAAAGAAGGTTAAACAATAGCAGTCAAAGTCATTGTTTAGTAATCCTCAATTTCTTGTTTACTTCTGCATTATTTCAACATTTAATAGAAATGACATATAATCATTTTGTGTAAATAGACATCCACTTACGTCCTTTTAAGAACATACTGTTCATTGTTTCTATTTACAGTTTCTTCAGAGTTTTCAATTTCTTGTCCATCTTTAGTCCAATAGCCAGTAATGTACAGGGGGTTATTTGGTAAATCAGTTAGGTTACATAAAAGCTCTATATACTGGGGTGACAGGATTGTAAGTTCTTCAATAATGACTTGACTTTGACCTGTATGCCAAAACATTTGTAGCCGGATCAGCAAACAAACCTCTTCGTTGCAATTATGTAAAGTAAATTCAGCGATTTATGATGACTACTGTACATTTGTATTTTATCATTTGTACACTTTTAAAGGGATACTCCACTTTTTTTGGGAAAAAGGCTCATTTTACCACTCCCCCAGAGTTAAACAGTTGAGTTTTACCGTTTTCGAATCCATTCAGACGATTTTCTGACTTTTAGAAGAATATCATAAACCAGACAGTTTCTGGTCTCTCATTGACTTCCATAGTAGGAAAAAATATATGGAAGTCAATGGGACCAGAAACTGTCTGGTTACTCATATTCTTCTAAATATCAGAAAATCGTCTGAATGGATTAGATTACGGTAAAACCCAACTGTTTAACTCTGGGAGAGTTGTAAAATGAACCCATTTCCACAAAAAAAGTGGAGTATCCCTTTAAATACATTCGTTGAGGTCAAATGCATGCTTGTATTGGCTAAGATATGACAGGGAAACCGTACCTTTAGATGCAGCTTTTTTGGTTGTAATTACAGGATTAGACTCTGGGGAAGAGGTTGTCTCTGGGAAAAAAGACAATGTGTCATATTCCAATGTCAAATGTTGCCTTGAATTTACAACAGGCCTAGTCAAGGTTAAATGAGATTTGCATTATAATAAGCCTATAAGCTTGAATAGTAAAAAGATTCAGGAATAGTGCAATTACTTTAACGTCCCATAGAAACACTGGAATAACAGTCTAGAGGAGTTCAGTTCAGTCTAACTGATAGCAAGGTCATGATGTCAAAGCTTGAAAATAACAAAACACTGCCCTAATGTTACACTAGACTAACAAGCAGACGTGCCAAACCTGATGTGTTCATCCCATCACAGTTGAGAAGAAGTAAGATGAGAAGCATGACATTAGCCATGGAGAGGAGCGCTCCGTCCCTGCAGCTCTGCTGTGTGCGAGGCATCTTTACTGGTGCGTCTTCTTTTCGGAAGCAGGTCCCCAGGGACAACAACCCCCCTCCCTTCACCCTTCCCTACTGCTGCCATGGTGACTTGGCAAGACTGGTGTATGCTTGCAGCTTCCTGCTTTAAATTAGTCATGAGTGTCAGGAGGTGGCCACAGCACTGCCTGATCAGATGATAGGAGAGCCTGTAACATCACCCTCTGTTGAGATGGAGCAGAGACTGTGAACTGCTGGCACATCTCAGTGTTTAAAGAAAACACAAAACAACTGGCACACTGCTATTAACTTGAAAGGTTTCGACCACAAGGTCTTCGTCAGGAAAACAACAAATATACTACTATCAGCATAATGAATTATCCCACCTCACCTAATTAATCAATTAATTACCCAATCATCTAGTGGATCAATGAAAATAGAGGGGAGGGGGGAAATTTATATATTGAATTTTCATTCAATAATAATTTAATAATTCATTTAATAATGAACAAATAAAATTACATTTATCCATAATATATGACAATATATCAACATTATACAGCAACTAAAGGATTATTAAGAACACCATACTAATACTGTGTTTGACCCCCTTTCGCCTTCAGAACTGTCTTAATTCTACGTGGCATTGATTCAACAAGGTGCTGAAAGCATTCTTTAGAAATGTTGGCCCATATTGATAGGATAGGCTCTTGCACTGATGGAGATTTGTGGGATGCACATCCAGGGCATGAAGCTCCCGTTCCACCACATCCCAAAGATGCTCTATTGGGTTGAGATCTGGTGACTGTGGGGGCCATTTTAGTACAGTGAACTCATTGTCATGTTCAAGAAACAAATTTGAAATTATTTGAGCTTTGTGACATAAAGGGATGGACATGTTCAGAAACAATGCTCAGGTAGGCCGTGGCATTTAAACGATGCCCAATTGGCACTAAGGGGCCTAAAGTGTGCCAAGAAAACATCCCCCACACCAGTATACCACCACCACCACCAGCCTGCACAGTGGTCACAAGGCACGATGGATCCATGTTCTCATTCTGTTTACGCCAAATTCTGACTCTACCGTCTGAATGTCTCAACAGAAAACGAGGCTCATCAGACCGGGCAACATTTTTCCAGTCTTCAACTGTCCAAGTTTGGTGAACTCTTGCACATTGTAGCCTCTTTTTCCTTCTTTGTAAAACCTAGAAATGGTTGTGTGTGAAAATCCCAGTAACTGAGTAGATTGTGAAATACTCAGACCGACCCGTTCTTTCCCATTCTGACATTCAGTTTGGAGTTCAGGAGATTGTCTTGACCAGGACCACACCGCTAAATGCATTGAAGAAACTGCCATGTGATTGGTTGATTAGATAATTGAATTAATGAGAAATTGAACAGGTGTTCCTAATAATCCTTCAGGTGAGTCTATATCTGCACACACACACACACACACAAAGTTTAAAAGTTTTTACAAAACACTGCAAGGCCTTGACAAAGTAGCAAATATTGAGCAAATGATTAATTAATCTAATTACTGGCAATGGAAACAGAGGCCTCAGACGAGCTTTGAATTTGGCAGAATATTGTTACTCTTTTTTTGGCCTGGGTCATTGTCAGGAATCAGGATGTACTTGGTGATGCAACTTGTCTGCAGGCCTCTTGCCCAGAAAAGCCTCTCATTGGATTTACTCTGATAGACCAATCCTGGAGCTAGAATGAAGCTTGATTCAGAGAAAGAAAGAAAGAAAGAAAGAAAGGAAAGAAGAAGGGCATCTTTCTTTTGCAAAGAACATCAGTTCACATTCATTGTGATCAGCCAGGTGAAGAAGCAGGAACAACAAAATGTCTCATGATGGGATGTCCAGGGAGGAATATGAGGAGTATCAAAAGCAGATGGTGGAGGAAAAGTAAGTTTGAACCTCTTTTAAAGGACACTGGGTTAGAAATTAAACTCTTACTGCATTTGAGACAGGTTTAGAAACTCATTGACCCTTCCAAACATATCTTTAAAAAAATGTTTAGCGTGAAATATGATACTCAGATAAGAGTTACTGAGCATTACAAGAAACTAAATGTGAGTTATGATGTCGGTTGTTATTATTTCTCTTGAATGCAACTAGTGTCTTTGCTGTTTTTTGTCTTTTATATTCCTGTTCTCTGTGTTTCCCCATCATTCAAGGATGGAGAGAGATGCAGAATATTCTACAAGAAAAGCAGAAAGGGCTTGTTTGAGGACTTGTTTAAGAGAAAAATATCGAATTCCAAAGGTGAGAGTCCCATGCAGACACAAATAATCCAGGAATCCTTCTCAATGATGGCATAACACTATACAGAAACTATACATTCACAAAACTTTATAGTTGTATTACTATCTATATTAAATGTATAAAACATATTATTCCTAAAAAATGGTTAATATTTAAAAGAGATATCCAAAATCCTCTCTGTAAAAACCTTCGACTCTAATATGTCGACTGAATGAAACAAGAAATTTAAACAATGTTCAGATTTCTGTTTTGGAAATGTATGCAATACATTGCATATTTTGCATTATTTGCATATTTAAACATATAATTTAAGAAAATCTGTCATGTAAAAAAAAGGGCAATTCTTAATGTAATAAATCAACCGAGGACGTGTGTTGATATCTGTTGCTAATTTGTTTTTATTTAATCCTATTCACCTGAGATGTCTTGCCTTAATTGAGTTATTCCTGTCCCTGACTGACTGTAAGCAGCACATTAATAGCATCGGTTTGAAAAGATGGTTAAACTATCACGTGTGTGAAAGCTTCCATTGCAGATTGTGGCAGGAGATTAAGTCATAAAATGGTAAGACTACACAGTCACTTTGGATGAATAAGGCTTAACCACCCGCAGTGATTCTCTAAACTGAGCTTTAAAAGCAATGCTGTATAGGGTGATTCTATAGTAGTTTCCAACCTGGAATGGCAATCTGATGTGAATTCAATTTGATGTGAATTAACAGTCATTATGAAAGGCCACCCCTAACCCGGCCCCTAAACCTACCCACCAATTTGCCAAAAGCGTAAAATGTCGATTTCATGTCGAATGACATCTTATTAATGAATATGAAATGAAGATTCATTAATAAGAATGGTTAGACTAGAAATCATCTTCAGAGATGTCTAACTCCCTAGGGAAAAAATGAAAACTGAGGTAAAAGATTTTAATAATTTACATGGCCTTTCCAGTTGTATAAATCGGTCTTCAATTAAGGCTACCTCATATAGGCCTATCCAGTTTTTTCCAAAGACAGACATGGGTATTAATGGGTCATAATATCATATAATATCAATGTTAAAGAATCATTATTATTTATATATATATAATATATATATACTATATACATACATACATACTATATATAAATATACTTGAATGTACAAGTACTGAGTAATAACAAAGTCCTTTCAAGTCATGCCACTCGCCGCCATCTTGGCAACGCCTCCGGGCAGCTATTTCGGACTGCTGTGTCCGAAATCACTCATTACTCACTATATAGTGGACTATAGTGAGCTCGCCATTTTGTAGTGCTGTCCGAATAGTGATGATTATTATATCCTATATAGTCCACTCAATGTATCCCAGAATGCATTTTGAAAAGTAGTGTACAACCGATGGTCACTAATCTAAGCCCTACATACCATCATGCATTGCGCTGATCGTAAAAATAAGTTATAATCATGTGTGGAGTAGCTCATTATAACAAAAACGGCCAGAAATCACTTTTAGTTTTCAAATTTTGGAGAAATAAGCTCAATATAATGTCATGTATTTATTTAAAAAAATATATTTAGCCCAGAGCCGGCTCGGCACCAGCTGACAGATGATGTAATCAACGGCGCCGAGAGACGATCTATTCTATTATGCTGGTGAGCTCACTATATAGTGCTCTGCTCTCTACCCCATATATAGGGGGTAGGGAGTAGGGGTTCGGACGCAGCATATATGTGCGCGCGCTCTTGCTCGGTCGCCCTAGATTCCGAGAGATTTGAACTCATTTGCGGGCATCAACGAGCCTCTATCAATCTGCGGGAGACACCTGGAACTTCTGGGAGACTTGGGATGTCTGATATTTACACAACGCACACATACACTGCATATCAAATCTGCCGCCTTTTCAATCAGTAACGTATTTAAATGTTTCCCAGCTTGACCGTTAAAAGCAGATGATTGGCTATCCAGCGGGAGGGGCAGGGCATTTGCATACAACCGCCATCTTTGGTGTTACGGGTTTTCCCTATCCACAAGTTTCCTACGCCCCATGAGGCCTTGCGTCAAAAGTGGGCGCGACTTCCGGTTCGAAGTAAACAAAGCGCGATTTGACATGCTTAACACTTTTCATTCAACAGTTGACAGTCATTCAAGTTATAGCGATCCAAACTAGCTAACGATGTGGGAACACAACCTCAACCAAATTCAAAAGGGTGAAATAACAGTACCTTTACCCTCCGCAGTAGCTGATTGGGAGTATTATATTACCATTATTAATAATCAATACTCATCAAGGCATGGTGACAGACAGTTGTGCGAGCTGACAAACAATTAAAATAAAAAATACACACTTAGTCATTGTGCTTTGGAGTTTATTCAAAATTATAAATGAATGTGCTACTTGAATACATTAACTGGCACATTTGATATTCTGTCAACACAGGCTTCAATCTGAGTTTAGGTGTAACACCAGTAGCGAACAGCCAATCACATGCTGAGAGAGTTTATAGAATATTAAGAATGTAAACAAATGTACACAGGAAGATTCGTCGTCTTTTGGGAGGTGATGGAAACTACAGTCGTTGGAAGGATCAGAGACGGGCTCTGGCAGGATCACTCTAATTTCGTTTTCGGTTTATGTTCAAAACAATCCCGTTTAAGCCACTGAATTAGTTTAGTCTGGTTATACATACAACCGCGAACAGCACATGTTGTCCCTGAGCTCCGTAACGACATCTCTCATAAAGATTTGCGTCTTTAAATAGTAAAATAATTCTCAGAAAAACAGCTAGCCTCTTCGCTAACTAGCACACAAAATACCATTGGAATGCTACTTCCGCCGCCTAACTGGAAGTTTCACCCACTTTATTTTTTACAGGAGTGCCCCTCAGAAACGTGTGGATACATTTGTATTAAGGATTGAGGAAGTGACATCTCTATATAAATAGTCTCTGGTAATAATAATTTACAACATGCACTTATTATAAGGTTAGGAAAATTGTTTGGTTTAGGGTTAATTGCAATGTAATTATGCATAATTTATATTCATTACTACATGTAACAATGACACTGTAAAATAAAGTGGGTAACACTTTACTTGAAAGGGTGTGCATAAGACTGACATGACACCTTAATAACCATGACATGACATATGTCTTGAATATGAAGTAGGGTTTATGCATATTTATGACAACTGTGTCTTTCGCTCAATAATGACATTTTGAATGCAAATATGACATTATAATGTCTATGTTATGACACCTTGACATAAACCAATACATCATAACCTGTCAGTGTCTTTGTCATGACAACTTGACATAAAATTAAGTTAAACTGTCATGTGGATGGCTTTCACATTGGCTGTCATGAGGCCCTTATAACTGTGTCATGAATATTTTTCGTGACCTCAACTACAGTGGTACTAATTGAATTTGTCATTAAAAAGTTAGAATGGCTTCATGGCAGTCAATGTCAAAACCAACTATCTGACAGTTTAATGTAATGCTAACCAATAAAGCTATGGTGGTTTCTTAAGTTTGATAATTAATCTGCTATGTCATGTTTATGACAGGTTGTGTTGTCTTAGTAATGTCAAGATGTCATGACAAAGACATCTCAAACAATGCCATATTTGCATCAAAAATGTCATAACTGAGCGAATGACACTTAGTGACAGTTGTCATAAACATTCATAAAACATCCCTCATATTCATATGTCATGTCATGATTATGGAGGTGTCATGTTAGTCTTATGCACAACCCTTCAAGTAAAGTGTTACCATAAAGGGTTACTATTATCATTATTGAAGTATAGCTAAAAAGCGTAATGTCACCACCTACTATATGTGTTTGGAGTACATTATTCTTTTCAATTTAGTATTGATTGACATGCTAATGTGTTTTTCCCCAGAGCGAACAGGACGAGATTATGATTCAGCAGGCCGGAGATGACATTGACGTGCCAGAAGAACTGATCAAGATGGTGGATGGAGAGGCGCCGCCGGAGGAGGAAAAGGAATCCATCATGGATCAAATGCAGAACCTTCAGAACATGGATATGGAGCAGATCAAAGAAAAGGCTCAGGCCACGTTTGTGGAGATGAAATCCAAGGCTGAGGAGAAGTGCACTGTTATGTAACGTCTATCTAATCTTAACACTCATTTACTTATGCAGTGAAACTATTAACAGTTTCAATAACCTGATGTCCAGAGATCAGTGTCCTTGTTCTGAAATTCATTTATTCTTAGTTCTTTCATTTGTCCTTTTTTTCTTTTCAATCTATCTTTTTTTCTTAGTTTTTCTATTGTTCCTTGATTTTCTTTTTTTAAGTCGTCTTGAATTGCAAAGTAATTGTTACGACTTATGACCAATATCAACATGCTAAAATATAAAGATATTATTTGATTCATGCACTTTTTATTTAAAAATAAAGGTTATTTTTCTAAACATTTGTTTAAAATCCACATGGAAAAGACATTTAAATGTAATGAGATGAGATTTTTTAATATAAATGATAATTTAACATGACTAAATACTTATATTATTTATTACTTACATAAATACAATATTTTCTGTATGATCAAATATTTTGAAGGTGCCGTAATAAGTTAGCCACATAAAAGTGAAGACTAAAAACTGCTGTAAATTAAACCCGACCACTTGAGATATAATGTTTGCAAATGCAAAAATAACACAGTCAATTTATGAATGGAATGCTAATTAATTTATAGTCTGGACATTTAAGCTTGGATAGGAGACAGCTTCACCCTTAACATTCTAAACCCACAATGAAAAATCTCTCATCATTTAAGCCAAACTCGGACTACAGGAGTTTTAACCGATTGTAAAATCTGGTTGCATCATGCACATAAAGCTGGGGATACACTTAACGACTGTAAGGCCGATTATGAATGTATTTTGATACTAACGATTGATCATGCCGAAAAGTGCCGAGTCAGTTGTGTTCAGTCGTTGTTCACAGTCTGTGTTTACAATCTGCTGCAGTAATTGCAGACAGTCAGTGTGTTCAGTCTTAGAATGTTTCAGCTAGTCGGTAAGTGTGTCCCCGGGACTGTAGTAAAATAATGTGTATGTGCGCAGGTGTAGTCTTTCTTTACAGTGACATCACCAACTACTTGTCTGGCATGCATAACACAGCGTTAATAGTCGTTTTCAAGGATCCGTGTGGACGGGGATCGTTTGTTGTCATATGTAAATTTTTTCTAATTTTAGCAAATGTTGTCGTGTAAACGTACCCTAAATATCAAACATGTTAGATATAGAGCATCACAGTCCCGCCCACAGCCGGTGCCGGAAGTAAAAATTCAATACAATTTCTCAATTGACATTTGAGATATAAGCCATAAAAACGTAACCATACATGGTAGACTTAAAACCAGCTATGGTTGTACTAAGCGATTGTATATGCTCACTTAAGCGCCAAAAGTTCATGGGGCACCAACCTTGTTTTAAGATAAATGCCGTTTATTCGCGATGTATTGGATAAGTACTTCATTACCCACAATCCTGAACAATCCCACGATCCCACAGTGATGCATCTGATTGGTGGAAGTTGTGTCGTGTCACGTGTCTGAAACCCCGCAAAGGCACGTGAAGACCTGAAGATCGTGTAATGACGTAGGGCTAAGTTCATTGGTCGCACCTCTGAGACGCCCCCGCGCCATTGGATGTGCAGTTGCCGCAACAGCCTATGAGCGAGCCAGATGCTCAATGTTTTTGAATGTTTTTAGAATGCTCAATATTTTTCCATCCACTTGCATTATGAACTCAGTTGCAATTGCGTTTGCTTCAGTAAATCGAGGAAAAGGAGTTTCCCTGCACATTCACTTTATAAAATTCACTCGAGGAAAAAGTTCACGTGGCCGTTGTCAGATTTGGAGTCACTCAAAAGGCTCTTTCACGGTGGCTTCAGTCAACTTTAGTGAGGCGCAGTGGTTTATGGGAGGAGTAGTTCCTTTGCTCGGAAATGAAAATATGTACACAGGTTTGTACCCTTGACTTTTTTGGATTTTCTCTTTGTTTTTTCACTCGAAATGATATGTTGTATGCTTATGAGTTCAGCCGTAGCTGGTTATCCTTCCTCAGACATGATCTAATACTCTTTAGATATGGATTTTACAAAATGTCAATGGGAGAAATGAATGGGAAATTTAATTTCGGCACCAGCGCTCTCTTGGGCTGTGGGCGGGACTGTGATGCTCTATTGTCGGGGTGGCCCCAATGTGTCCGCGAGCAGATCGGGAGGTTTAAAGGGACAGTTCACTTTGAAATTAATTTTTGATATGTTTTAGCTTACCTCAAGGGCATCCAAGATGTAGGTGTCTTTGTTTCCACAGTATTTTCAATTTTGATATTTTTCAGTCAAACCGTTGTTGTCTGTCAGTCATATAATGCAGGTATGGGGTCCACGTCAAAGAGCATGCACAGAGAAGTCCAAATTAAACATGATTTAATGACTCGTATATGTAAGTACACATTGATGGCCTAAGACACGAAACGAGCGGTTTGTGTGAGAAAACGAACAGTATTTATATCGTTTTACCTCTTGTAACCACAGTGACGTCCAAGTGATCTGAATCAGTTGTGCAATGTCCAGCTGAACCGAACTGAATCAGTTCAATGTTCTGCCGGAAGTGATCGCTTGCACGCCTACGTCACTCAATAAACATATTTTTAAACATACTAAACATTTGATATACCGAAATCGTCTTCCATTGCGGTTTCCTGTATATCTAAATATGTTTAGTGAAAGGTAAAACTTCCGAAATCTCTGTATAAACAAAGAGTGACGTAAAGCGATCACCTACGGCGCATGCGCAAGCGATCAGTTTGACATCGCTGTGATTGGACGAGGTAAAAACGATATAAATAATGTTCGTTTTCTCACACAAACCGCTCGTTTCGTGTCTTAGGCCATCAATGTGTACTTACATTCATGAGTCATTAAATCATGTTTAATTTTGACTTCTCTGTGCATGCTCTTTGAGATGAACCCATGGTGGACCCCCTTAACCTCCAGTGTATGACTGACAGACAACAATGGTTTGACCGAAAAATATCAAAATTGAAAATACTGTGGAAACAAAGACACCTACATCTTGGATCTCCTTGAGGTAAGCTAAAACATATCAAAAATTAATTTCAAAGTGAACTATCCCTTTAAGATTTGATCTGTAAACGCCTCACATTACCAGATAATCTGGGCCGAATAACAGAACCAACCGACCGACGCGTTTTCTTCTCCAAATGTAGGGAGGGGTAAATTAGGCATACATCGGCCTGAAACTCCTGTAGTCTAAGCCCGGTTGACTCACTCTCATGCAGTTTGATATGTATGAATTTCTTTCTTCAGATGAACACAAATGAAGATTTTTAGCAAAATAAACAGACGAGCTGATGTGAATGCATATAATGTAGGTGTACGGGACCTCCCAAGCTGACACTTTAAAAACCCCCACAAAATTCGCTTATATCATGCTGTGCGCTATATACACACACAAATCGTTTCACTTCGGAAGACATGATTCATCAACCGGGGTCATAAGGGTTACCATTGTGTTTGTTTTCTGTGATTTTTGAAGCATCCGCTTTGAGGGTCCCATCCACTTGCATTATGAACTCAAAGAGTTGGATTATTATTCTAAACATTTTCGTTTGTGTTCATCTGAATCTTCATCTGTACTCAATCAAGGATTGTTATAGAGTTGCAAACTATTCATGAACTCATTCTGCATGTCATCAATGTCATCAGTGGTCTCAATGGGAATGCTCAGTGGGTTCAGGAAGGGTGAGCATGGCATGTTCTCGTATTCATGTGTATGGTCACCGTGCAATCGAAAGTCCCCGTAACCCCCCACAGCTCCGTGGAGAGGCTCGCAGACGTTGAGGTAGGGGTTGGCGTACTGCTGGGTGAAGCGACGGTCAGACGCGGGACTGTGGCTGGGGCTGGTCGAGGGACTGTGCGGCATGGGACACGTCAGCTGGCAGCTGTTCTTCCTGGTGGGGCGGTTGAGATCCAGTTTGGCGGTGAGGGGCTTGCCGATGTTGACGTCCATGTTCCACTGGACCAGGTCATCTAGGCAGTTAAACTGGACTTGAAGGCACACAGTGAAAGCTAGTTCCTCCTGTAAAACAGGAAGAAAGTGTGAGAAGGAAAAAAAGGGATCAAAGTAGCTTTGAATTCAATCGAAAAATGCATTGGAAAGCTCAATCTAGCTATAGACCTATTGTGTATCTTTCTAGGTTGTGATGTGTTGAAGAAGTCTTAAGATGTACCTTGAGTTTCTGCACTGAGCTGAGTCTGGTGTAGAGGCAGTGCTGAGGAAGACTGCCTGAAAGCAAGAAGCTTCCCGTTTCTTCCAGAGTTTCCTTATTCATCAGCTTAGGGTCTACATCCAGGTCCTTCAAAGTCAAAACATTCAAATGCATTGCAAATGTCAAAAGAACACAGTTCATGTAAAATGTTAAAACTGTTATTAATCCAATTAAGATTGTACTTACAAAAAAAAGTTATACTGTATAGCTAAATAATTAAGCTGCTCGATTTTTTTATGTTTTTGAAAACACTTATACTCTCTAAGGCTGCACTTCTTTAATCAAAATTAGGGCTGGGCAACTATTAATCGCGATTAATCGCATCCAAAATAAAAGTTTGCGTTTACATAATATATGTCTGGTCCTCTGTGGAATTATTTTGTATATAAAAATTCACACACATTCATGTATATATTTAAGAAAAATGTGTTATTAATATATAAAATATTTATATTTAATATAAACCATGTATAAAAATATATACAGTATATACATGCAAATATTTCTTAAATATATACATGGATGTGTGTGTATTTATATATACAAAATAATTATACACACTACACACACATATATTAATTATGTAAACACAAACTTTTATTTTGGATACGATTAATCACGATCAATCGTTGCCCAACCCTAAAATACAGTAAAAAAGTAATATTGTGGGGGGAAATTCTAGTTTAATATTGTAAAATGTAATTCATTCCTGTGATCACAAAGCATCATTACTCCAGTATTCAGTGTCACATGATTCTTCAGAAATCATTCTAATATGCTGATTTGCTGCTCAAGAAACATTAATTATTATTATCAATGTTAACTGATCAATGTTCTGATCAATGTTAAATTGTACTTCTTGGTTTTTTTTTTTTATGAAAACCATTACAAGATTGTTTGATGACTATAAACTACAAAGGAACTTATTTGAAACGGATGTTTTTGTGATTACTGTCACTTTTGATCAGTGGTGGAGGAAGTACTGAATCTCAGTACTTAAGTAAAAGTACAAATAACCAGATAAATATTTACTTTAGTAAAAGTAGAAGTAACACAATGACAACAATACTTAAGTAAAAAGTAAAAAGTACCTGATTTTAAATGAACTTTAAGTATTAAAAAGTAAAAGTACTTGCATAATTTATTTTCTTAATGTCTATTTTCTAATGATTAATAAAACATTTAATTCTAACTCATTCAAACTAATACTCTTATAATGATGTTCAATAATGATGGGAAAAAAAATGTTGTCACCATTTCTGAAACAAGCTTGAAATTAGGCAATATACACATCATGCTTATCCTTACTATATGTTAATAACTATGGCAGTAAACGCGATTAATTTATGGTGTAATTCTGAACCTCTTGGCTTGCCATAATCCTAACCAAACGTATATTACACACGGTGCGTTTCCTATGCACGTAAAAACTAATTTTCGCGTATAAATTGCACTATAAACGCACTGCGTGCGAGATGCATTTAGTGTGACCGGGTTGATATACTGTATCTATGGCAACCAAACGTCACTGGTGAGACAAACGTGCAACGGACGGACGGTCAGATTACGTTTTGGCAGGGGAAAAACTGATCAGAAAATGTAACGAAAATGTAACAGAAGTTGTAGAAATGTAGTGGAGTAGAAAGTATAATAATTGCTGCAAAATGTAACGAAGTAAAAGTAAAAAGTATGCACTATTTATTCTACTTAAGTAACGTAAAGATACGTGAAAAATGTACTTAAGTAAAGTAACAAAGTATTTGTACTTCGTTACATTCCACCACTGCTTTTGATTAATTTGATGGATTCTCGCTGAATAAAAGTATACTTTAAAAAGTGTTGCTCAAAAAACATCTTAAAATCTTACTGGTTTTGAATATGGATATGAATAAATAATGCATTGCAGATTCTTTCTTCAAAATAAAAACAAAGAGACCACTTACCAGAGGAAGGTTAGTTATGTGCGCCTGGCATGACAGCATCTCCTCTGACTTTTTCACAATGCTGGTGTAGATGACCAGCACATTGGAAAACTCAGCAGCAAAGTCCATTTTTATCTGAACTCCACAGTCAAAGTCCAGAATTTTACTCTCCGGCAGTTCTGGGTTAAAACAGATGCAAACTGTTAGTTTGATGCCAAGTACTATTTCACTTATCATGAATTATCATCTGTGTCAAAGGAGTAGTTCACCCAAAAATGAAAATTCTGTCATCATTTAGTCACTCTCATGTTGTTCCAAACCTCTATGACTTTCTTTCTTCTGCTGAACACAAAAGAAGTTAATTTAAAAAAAATATAGGTAACTAAACAGTTGGGCCCCATTGACTTCCGTCGTATGGAAAAGAAAATACTATGAACGTCAATGGGTCCCATAAACTGTTTGGTTGTTTTCAGGTTCAGGTCTGGAACAGATTGAGAGCGAGTAAATGATGACAGAATTTTCATTTTTGGGTGAACTATCCCTTTAATATCATCAACAAGATTTGGTCCCACTTTATATTAAGTGGCTTTAAGTACAATGTACTTACATCGAAAAATAAGTACAATGTATTATTGTGTTCTTGTTGTATTATAAAACAGTATACACAAGTACACTTTGTGTATACAGGCGGCGCCATCTTTGGAAAACAGTCTCGACAAGTCAAACCACGAACGTCGTGCTGAGTGATCTGAACTGTATGAAGTTCAGCGAACTTCTGAACTGTATGAACGGCGTTTGGGAATCGACTTATCGAGACTATTTTCTAAGATGGCTCCTGTCTGTATACGCGAAGTGAACTGTCTTCATAAAGTATCTTCTTATTAAACGGTCTGTACACTGACAAAGTTCTCAATGCTTCGTTTTGCATGTATGGACCCTCATTATGTTACTGTGTTAGTGTGGGGCTATTTTGAGCCTTGTTAGTGGTATAAACTAGCGATTTCTTTTTACTTAAAAAATGCCCCCCGTACTAGCATTATACACTAATCAGTTTTTAGAGATAAAACTCTTCACATTCGATTATCATGAAAACAAATCTCAGAGAACGGTTGACTGGGTATCAATGTTTTATTGGACCAAAGGTTTATTTTGCGAAGGAGTTCTCCTTTAAGGTTAGGTTAAGGTGTAAGGGAAGGGTCAACTGTGTAATTACAAATGTAATTACATAAATTAATTATAGCTGTAATTACATGATGGTATTTTTAAAATAGAAGTACACTGTAAAAAGATGTATGCACACAATTACATTGTACCCAAGTCCATTGTATCAAATTATTAATTTCAATGTAAGTATATAGTACTTAAACCACTTAATATAAAGTGGGACCCAAGATTTTTTGGTTTTGGGGGGTATCGTCAACAATGAAAAAGAGGTGAAAATCATCATGACAGTGATTTCAATTCAAACATACAGTTGATAAAATAATAAGAATAAGAATTTTGTAGCAAAATAAAAATGCACTGAACATTTGTTAGAAAAAAAGGATATGGTTGATTAAAATATACCAATTTAACTGTTACTTAATATAAAAAGGATTACATGGAGTTTGGTCTAATAACTGATTGTGATTTTAACTGATACATTTTGTTTTTATCATCTGTCACAATACTTGCAACTAAAATGTAATTTTCAAATAATGCCTTTTTTGTAATTATTAATATTCTGTTTTACCATTGCTTACATCTTCTAGACAAAACCTTTGAACCTTTTTTTATACTGAGTTGCACAATATGTTGAAGTAGCTGAAAATACCATGCGCTTTAGACCAGAGCAGGTTGTGTGCCTCAGCTGGATGGGAGTAGTCCCCGGGGCGGATGGGATCGGTGAGGGATCGTCTCTCAGACAGGCTGCTGCGGATCTCGAGAGCCTGCTTACCCTTTGTGGGGTCAAACTGACCCATATCTACAAATAATCAGTACAGTTCTTTGATAATGAAAACACACATTAAGCAAAGGTAGATGAAATATACATGTTTGACACATTTCAATTATATTTTATTCAATTTTTTAATATCTAAATTGATCATTAAAATGACAACGTATAATGTTTAGTAGAAGTAGTAGTTATAGTGCAAAATAGTAGTACTCTTTTCAGAGCAGTTAATCATTTGTTTGAGCTTAATGGACCAGCATTTAACTGTTAAAAGCTGTAATGCTTCATTTAACTTCAACATGCTCATGGTTCACTCACCTTCAGCCACACTGTCCAGCAGAACAGTTATCTTCTCATCCTCTAGGAGGCGCTCTTTCAGGAATTTGATAAAGACTCCATTGGTGAACCCACTTGAACTCAATTCAAAAGCCTCAGCATCTTGGCAACTTCACAAAAATAACATATCATGGCGTAACATTTCAGATAGAGAACATAATGTACTTCGGCATGTTATTTCTGGATGAAAAACTCACGTTGCATATCCAAACACAATATTGGCTGTAACTTTGAGCATGACATTTGGCATGGCGTCGTCATGTACATTTCTGAAACAGTGTACTAGTATTAGAATGATGGCAATCAATGTGAATACAGTGTGAATAAAGGAAAATCCCCACCTTTTCCTGCACATATCCAGGAGGAAGACATTGAGTCCAGTCTCCTTCTCCTGCATCAGTTTCAGAATGCTCTGAACACAGAGACAGTTGCCTGAGCGGTATGGATTTGGGGCATCCACGGGCACCATGAAGCTGTTCCCAAAGTTCTCATAACCGTGTCCAGCATAATACAACAAACCTACAAGGAGGAGCAATCGTCAAAGAGTCAGTTCAGCCAAAAAAAAAAAAAAAACAAATCCTGTCACCATTACTCACCCTCATGTCATTCAAAAAGCCACGAGTTTCTTTCTACTGTTAAACACAAAAGACGGTATTTTAAATATTGTCTGTTCTCTTCTATTCCATATAACAAGAGCCGATGGTGAATTGCACTGTCAACAAAAAAATTAGTCTAATGTGACTTTTGCGCTGATAGCTTTGCAAGATATTTAATGAAAATCTTAATTTGAAGCGAACATATTAGGCATTATGATGATGATATCAAATTTTCGTATCACAATGGTTGCTGAAACATTTTTGTCATGGTATCACACAGTATTAAATTACAAAAATTTTTCTAAATAACAAAAAGAACCTTAAACATTTAATCAATAAACAGTGCACAATAAAATTAAAGAGCACAACTATAAAGAACAGAACATCTTTAACAATATCAAGATATATTTTCTGGACTGGCATGTTTGTTTTAGTCCAGATTGTTTGAAAAATAATATTAAAGTTACCATGAAATCAAAATGGACAACTCTTGTTTTTATGGAATATTGCAATATTTATGCACATTATTATTTTTTTAAATTCATGTGCCCTTATTATCTTTAATCTAAATAATTCCCAATCTCTCTTGCAGCAACATCTCTAATGACGTTTCTCTCGGTGCAAGGGCGAAACTGTCAATCACATGAGATCACACAGCGATAGCAAACAACAACGATCCAATGATCCAATCAATACCCGATAGACAAAATCAAGTCCATTCGGATCACAATGGAGGGAAGAAAAGACTATTGTTTCATCCTGACTTAATGTATTTAAATAAATAATAAGCATTTTCACGGCTTGTCTGCCATCTTTGTTCTGACCAATGTGAAAATCGGCCTAAATATGTAAATTTTGATGAAAAAGCAGCTAATGTGCATTCTAAAAATCTAAACAATTTGGATAATGAGGTATCTAGAATTTTCCATACTGTTAATTTCCACAATATTATACCAAATATCAGCACAAGCTTAGTACACCTTTAAACATGGCAAATTAAAATGTGTTGTGACAGGTTTGGCATCAAAAATGTCAAATGTTATTAGTTCTCGTGTCTAATAACTGATAGGTGACACGGCGAGTGTTAATATGTGTAAAAAGCAAAATGGGAAATGAGAAGTGTGATCTCCTTTTGTGCTCCACAGAAAAATGTTAATTATACAGGTTTGGATTGGAATGACATGAGGGTGAGAAATTATTGTAGTTAATAGACTCGTAAACACCTCTAAATTCAGCATTCAAGCAATTAGTTATTAGTGGCATGGTTATTATGGCAATTACATACTTTCCAAAAATCATGTTAGTTTGATCTTACAAGGCAATTACCATGTTTATAGTAGTCTGCAATAAAACGTCGTGAACTACGGTAGCATAAACTATAGCAGAAACCACAGTACCATAAACTCCCTTATGAAGCAGAGACAGGAATTCCTCCACGGCGTTCCGCATCTCTGACTCGGTCAGATCCAGCAGAGACACCACTTTAAAGTTGAGCTGCCGCAGCAGATTAGTGAGGTCGTACACATCCACCATGGGCGCCTTCAGCTGTGGGTGGTTTCGATATGTGAGGTTACCGATCAGAAGGGCCACTTTGTCTGTAGCTGAAGGGAGAAACACATATTCACTGTGGAAAATGAGAGACTCCAGCTCCATTTTGAGTTAAATTAATTCACAGAATATGTTTGGTCTACTCACCATAAGGTTTCTCAAGATTGTAATCTGATGAAAAAGGTCATGATCATTCACTGACGTATTAAAAGCAAGAAATCTTCAAGGCCGAATGTAATGGGAACACAAAACTTACCTTTCTCAATAGTCAGAAAGTCATCTAAAAAAGAGAAACGTACATAGTAGGTATTTAGAGGATTCTTCTCCGAAGGCACATGATGATGACGATAATGAAAAGAAAGTTTATAGATCACAAATAGAAAACATTTCCGAGACCGAAAAATGAGATTTGACCCAATCCTGCCACAGTGAACCCTTAATGCCACTTATATGAATAGTTCACTTAAAGGGATACTCCACTTTTATTTAACAACTCCCCCAGAGTTAAACAGTTGGGTTTTACCGTTTTTCATTCAAAATCGTTTTCCATTCAGCCGATTTTCTGATATTTAGAAAAATATATCAGAAAATATCAGAAAATCGGCTGAATGGATTCAAAAATGGTAAAACTCAACTCTGAGGGAGTTGTAAAATTAGCCTATTTCCAAAAAAGTGGAGTATTCTTTTAAAAATGTAAATTCTGTCATCATTTACTCATCATTTACAGTTGTTTCAAACCAGTATAATTTTCTTTCTTCTGCTGAACACAAAGGAAGACATTTTGAAGAATGTCAATAACCAGACAGTTGATGTACCCTGTTGATTTACATTGTAGGAAAACAAATACTATGAAAGACAATGGTGTCTGGTTACTTTCTGGTTACCGAACTTTCTTCAAAATATCTTCTTTTGTCCTCAGCAGAAGAAATAAATTCATACAGGTTTGAAACAACTTGAGGGCGAGTAAATGATGACAGAATTTACATTTTTAAGTGAACTAATCCTTTAAGAAAAATTATTTCGTCACACATTTGGTCATGTTCTCACACTGCATTATTTATAATTTTGCAAGATGTAAACAACACTGGTCCAGAAACACTTCCTGTTTCATTTTGTAACTGTTTTCTTTATTTCACATGTAAAGAAAACATCTTAAAGATGTTTGTTTAACTTTTTGAATCATTTTTATATGTTCTGTTGGTTGTATTTTATCCAAGCTTTTATGTAGTGTTAAAAAACTGAAACAGGAAGTGCTTGTGGACCAGTGTTGTTTACATCTTGCAAAATGATCTGGGTACACTTTACTTGAAGGGGTGTGCATAAGACTAACATGACATACCTATGTTATGATATGTTATGAATATGAAGGAAGTTTTATGCATGTTTGTGACAACTGTCATTAAGCGTCATTCGCTCAGTTATGACATTTTAAATGCAAATATGACATTGTTTGTGATGTCTTTGTTATGACACCTTGACATAAACCAATACATCATAACCTGTCAGTGTTTTCGTCATGACAACTTGACATTACTAAGACAACCTGTCATAAACATGACATAGCAGATTAATTATCAAACCACCTAGCTTTAATGGTTAACATTACATTAACCCTCATGTGGTGTTCGGGTCAATTTGACCCGGAGAAGATTTTCTTTTTCCTGAAAATACTAGTTAATGTTATCGCTTTGGACTGAAACTTAGTGACTTTGTTCCCAAGCGGTATAACTATATCTCATTTGTTTTTTGAATATTTTCGTATTTTTTTGTGGGAGTTCTGTTACCTTGTTACACTTGTGGTGTTCCCGGTCAAAAATGACCGGTCTATAAAAAATAGCTTATAAATCACTCATTATACCATATTTTCACCCAATCTTGGATTCAATCTTTTTGTCAACTTGTTCTCTTTCAATTAGGACTGGTTTTACATTTCTGTTTGCATCTGATTAATCGTGGGCCTCATTTATCCGAGAGTAGGCATCTCATTTTTTGAGTAAAAAATAAATAATTTATGAATAAATTTGGAAATATGAAATTTTTTTTTGAAAAAAATGTCTACTGTTCATCACTCTAGTCTACTCTAATGATTTACCAGGAATTTTGTTTTGAAACTTTTGTTTTGTAAAAAATATGGAACATAGTCACACTTGTGGTGTTCCCGGTCAAAAATGACCGGCCTATTAAAAATAGCTTATAAATCACTCATTATACCATATTTTCACCCAATCTTGGATTCAATCTTTTTGTCAACTTGTTCTCTTTCAATTAGGACTGGTTTTACATTTCTGTTTGCATCTGATTAATCGTGGGCCTCATTTATTTGAGAGTAGGCATGGTAAAAAATGGTCACAATGGGCGACCATTGAAAATGAATGGGAGAGACTGAAAATAACAGAACAATTTAGTTTTCAGGAGCATGTTCATTATTTTCATGTACACATTTGAGCATGTGTACTTGCAAACATCGAGCCCTTGGACCTGTGCATGTATCGATACATTTATACTGTACACACGCAACCCAGACACACACGCGTTAAAACACAGAAACTTTGAGTATTACACACATTCTTTTCCACAGAGAGAAATTTGATTCTACCCTAACCTGCATCTAATATACATTTATCCATCTGACATTACCACACACACACACACACACACACACACACACACACACAAACTGGCCGTGACTGCAGTGATCCGGCTTCAAAATAATCTTTCTTTCATGTTCTTGTTTCATCACAGCTTCCAGAAAAAATATTATGACATTTTGTTTTGGAACTGTGAGGTTCTCACCATAGACAGTGGTTCTCACACAGAACTAGACAATATTTACAAATATACATCATGTGATAGCACAGGCATATATAAATGCCTCACAGCACCTTGCTTGTCATTCATTTGTGGCAGCACAATGGCAAAGCAGCTCTCTGCACATGATGTTATTCATCAGATTTTTGACTCAGAAAATAGTGGGGAGGATCATTTCTCTCTGTGGAAAAGAATGTGTGTAATACTAAAAAAAAATTGTGTGTTTTAACGTGTGTGTGTGTGTGTCTGGGTAGCGGGTGTATAAATGTATCGATACATGCACAGGTCCAAGGGCTCGATGTTTGCAAGCACACATGCTCATATGTGTACATGAAAATAATGAACATGCTCCTGAAAACTAAATTGTTCTGTAATTTTCAGTCTCTCCCATTCACTTTCAATGGTCGCCCATTGTGACAATTTTTGACCATGCCTACTCTCAGATAAATGAGACCCACGATTAATCAGATGCAAACAGAAATATAAAACCAGTCCTAATTGAAAGAGAACAAGTTGACAAAAAGATTGAATCCAAGATTGGGTGAAAATATGGTATAATGAGTGATTTATAAGCTATTTTATATAGGCCGGTCATTTTTGACCGGGAACACCACAAGTGTGACTATATTCCATATTTTTTACAAAACAAAAGTTTCAAAACAAAATTCCTGGTAAAACATTAGAGTAGACTAGAGTGATGAACAGTAGCCATTTTTTTCAAAAAAAAATTCCATATTTCCAAATTTACTAATAAATTATTTATTTTTGACTCAAAAAATGAGATGCCTACTCTCAAACAAACGAGGCCCACGATTAATCAGATGCAAACAGAAATATAAAACCAGTCCTAATTGAAAGAGAACAAGTTGACAAAAAGATTGAATCCAAGATTGGGTGAAAATATGCTATAATGAGTGATTTATAAGCTATTTTTTATAGGCCGGTCATTTTTGACCGGGAACACCACAAGTGTGACTATGTTCCATATTTTTTACAAAACAAAAGTTTCAAAACAAAATTCCTGGTAAATCATTAGAGTAGACTAGTGTGATGAACAGTAGCCATTTTTTTTCAAAAAAAAAATTCATATTTCCAAATTTACTCATAAATTATTATTTTTTTTACTCAAAAAATGAGATGCCTACTCTCAGACAAACGAGGCTCACGATTAATCAGATGCAAACAGAAATATAAAACCAGTCCTAATTGAAAGAGAACAAGTTGACAAAAAGATTGAATCCAAGATTGGGTGAAAATATGGTATAATGAGTGATTTATAAGCTATTTTTTATGGGCCGGTCATTTTTGACCGGGAACACCACAAGTGTTATAGGGTTTTGAACACCACATGAGGGTTAAACTGTCAGGTGGTTGGTTTTGACATTGGCTGCCATGAAGCCATTTTAACTTTTTAATGACAAATTCAATATGTAGGCTACCACTGTAGTTGAGGTCACAAAAATATTCATGACACAGTTATAATGGCCTCATGACAGCCAATGTGAAAGCCAACCACATGAAAGTTTAACTTAAGTTTATGTCAAGTTGTCATGACAAAGACACTGACAGGTTATGATGTATTGATTGGTTTATGTCAAGTTGTCATAACAAAGACATCTTAAACAATGAAATATTTGCATTCAAAATGTCATCATTGAGCAAAAGACACTTAATGACAGTTGTCATAAACATGGATAAACCCTACTTCATATTCAATACATGTCATGTCATGGTTATGAAGGTGTCATGTCAGTCTTATGCACACCCCTTCAAGTAAAGTGTTACTAGACATGCAGAGCTGCATTACTGAAGGCATCAGATCTATCAGTGTTCTCCACCACCTCAATCAATAAGAGTAGTCAAGAGAGTAGGGAAAAACATTTAAAGGAGTTTTCCGGGTTCAATACAAGCTCAACTGTGGCACACCGTCGATTACCACAGAAAAAAAAACATGATTAATGTAATGCATTTCACATTATTTATGCTATTGCTGTTGATGGAGCTTGTTTTGAACCTGAAAGGTTCATTAAAAGCTGTTATAGCGTGCATTAATCGGCATGACAGTATGATGATTAGGTTGGACATGCACCAGATTCAGATGGATACCAAAAAAGTCCATAGATGTTAGAGAGGTGCCACTACATCTACATAATACCTTCAGAGCACTCCATTGCTCCTGAAATTTGTAGAGATATTCTTGGATCTTTCATTTCAGAATGGCAAGGATTTTCTTGAGGAGGAACAAGAAGTTGGACCACAAAATGAGTGTAAATAAAGTGAACCTAAAGAGAGAGCTGCTCACACTTCTTTCAATAAGGCAGTCCACTAACACTGCCATAACAAATCAACATTGTGCTATTAGAGGTCCCACATAGAGGTTACCGTCTCTGCACTAGAGTTGGACATAGTAAAGACCATATCTTGGCATCCTGGAGTTATTTATATTAGAATTACTTGTCACGCACTACTGTTCAGAACACTGATTTGATCAGAAAACATCTAACCGAAGAATAGATATAAAACAAAAGACTTGATCCATACCAGTAACAACAACATCGACTTCATTGCTCCACGTTCGTTCATTAGTGCAGCAGATCTCGCAGCGATATCTTCCCTGGTGCTCTGGCAACAAATTCTTGACCTAGTTTAAACCAAAACATATTATTCAATCACTCTCACTTCACTGAAAATAATGTGTAAACAAAAACAGATAACTGGAGCATGTTTTACAAGAAAATTCAATCTGTTCATCATATTAAAGGGATAGTTCACTTTGAAATTAAAATTTGATATGTTTTAGCTTACCTCAAGGGCATCCAAGATGTAGGTGTCTTTGTTTCCACAGTATTTACAATTTTGATATTTTTAGGTCAAACCGTTGTTGTTGTCAGTCATATAATGGAGGTATATGGGGTCCACCCATGAGTCCACCTCAAAGAGCATGCAAATTTAATGACTCGTAAATGTAAGTAAACATGACACGAAACGAGCGGTTTGTGTGAGAAAACGAACAGTATTTATATCCTTTTTACCTAGTGTAACCACAGCCACGTCCAATTGATCTGAGGGCGCTTCAGTCTGCGCAAGCGCCGGAAGTGATCTCTCGTGCGTGTACGTCACTCATTGCTTACACAGAGATTTCAGAAGTGTTACCCTTTCACTGTGAAGATGTAAACATATTTAGATATACAGGAAATTGCAATGGAAGACGATTTCGATATATCAACAGACAACGTTGGTTTTTTTTCAAACCGCGCGATCACTTCCAGCGCTTTCCAGCGCTTCTGCAGACCAAAATGGCCGTGCCGTCAGATCAGTTGGACGTGGCTGTGATTACAAGAGGTAAAAACGATATAAATACTGTTAGTTTTCTCACACAAACCGCTTGTTTTGTGTCTTAGGCCATTAAATCATGTTTAATTTGGACTTCTCTGTGCATGCTCTTTGAGGTGGTGACCATAGACCTGCATTATATGACTGACAGACAAGAACGGTTTGACCTAAAAATATCAAAATTGAAAATACTGTGAAAACAAAGACACCTACATCTTGGATGCCCTTGAGGTAAGCTAAAACATATCAACAATTTATTTCAAAGTGAACTATCCCTTTAAGCGATTGCTTCTCTTCAGAAAATACATATGGATTTGTCTAACAATGTCTTTATGCACTTTTTGAAGCGCCAAAGTGGTAGTTATGCTGTCAATGGAGATGAAGAAATCTCTCAGAATTAATTTAAAAGATCTTCATTTGTGTTTTAAAGATGAACGAAAGTCTTACGGGTTTGGAACGACATGAGGGTGAGTAACTGATGATTGGTTGAACTAACCCTTTAAAATGTTGACGTTTAATTCTTTGCTTGCTGTTTCTTTGTTATTATTAAATGTGAAATTTGCTATTTACTGAGTAAAACGGTCTCAGTAATGACATACAACACTATATAGTACAATAGAAAATGTTATCCTCTTACAGTGTACTTCCTCTTGTTGGCTTTTATGATTGGCACCCCATTTCTGTACCATTGATATTGTGGTAGGGGTCTGCCAATTGCTCCACACTCCAGATAGAGTATATCACCCACCAGCAGCCTTTGAGGCTGAGGCTGGATCAGGACCCTCGGTCTGCCCTCTGATGCCAAAGACACTAGTCCTGAACAAAAAAACATCCATTTTGATATCAGTGACATACAGTGACAATATCATGACAATTCAAACAAATGTCTCTCTAGTCTCTGATTTACCATATCTTGGTGGAACATCAAGGACGTCTACTTGGGCCCACTGACTGAACTCACATGTGTTTCCACAGTTCACTCTACAGATGTAAAACCCTGCATCTTTGACCTGGACTGGGCTGAACACCAGGTCTGGGGAAGAGCTGTTATGTACCTGAAGGGTTGCGTTAGTTATATGATCGTGTGAATGACTAACAATAAATTGTTCCTCAATGTAATGTCCTTTAGTTTACCTCTTCTGTTTTCTTAAACCACTGAAACTGCACATTCGAAGCACCAACAGCACAACAGCTGAGACGGAGGTTATGTCCGGCAATGACAGCCACTGACTGCGGCTGGATGAGGATTTGAATTCCTGTCAGATCAATTGAGGAAACAGCATCTGAAACTGGCTTATGAATGCCAAAAATCACTTATGGCTATGTCTGCACAGTATCTATGCCAGGAATTTCTGCAGAATATAAATACATGTGATTTAAAGCGTTGTGTGTTTGTTACTTAAATGTTTTGGCAAATTTCATAATGTTCTCAAATGCCAATAAGAGTGTAAAGGTACGGCCACATTTACTGTTCTGTTCAAAATCAATAGCAATCCACACAAGAATTTCATTCAAAGTTTCTGTCTGATGTTCAAACTGGTCACGTGGATTTACCACATTAATCAACAGAAAGCTGATTGGTTTGAAAGTGATTTCTGTCTGAGCCGTGCTTCATGCCTCTCTACACTTTCTCTAACTGATCTATAAGTTATGATAACATATGTTTTCACATTACTTTAACTTATCAAAAGTAAGATATTCTCAACTTTTTTTTTTACAATATACAAGACTCAAAATTAATATACAAGACTCTGAAATTACTTAAACATCCAAATTAATTGTACTAAAAAAATTAAAGCAGTAGTTCACTTTTAAAATAACTTTTGCTGATAATTTACTCACCCCCATGTCATCCAAGATGTCCATGTCTTTCTTTCTTCAGTCGAAAAGAAATTAAGGTTTTTGATGAAAACATTCCATAATTTTTCTCCATATAACGGACTTCAATGGGAACCAAACGGTTCAAGGTCCAAAAGACAGTTTCAGTGCAAACTGTTCAAAGGGCTTTAAAGGATTCCAGACGATGAATAAGAGTCTTATCAAGCGAAATGTTTAAGTTTTATAAACTCAAATGGTCGCCTTGCTCTGTTCTGTGATGTGCGTTTGTGACTCCTGTTCGAACTCGTTCATCAAAATGAACGAATCTTTTTCCGAGTCAATTCATTCATTTCGTTTGTTGAATGAACCAAATGCTCATGGTTTTTGAATGAACCAAATGCTCATGATTTAAAAAAAAAAAGAGCAATCGTTTCGCTTGATAAGACCCTTATTCATCGTCTGGAATCGTTTAAAGCCATTTGAACAGTTTGCGGTTTGCACTGAAACTGTCTTTTGGACCTTGAACCATTTGGTTACCAGTAAAGTGCATAATTTGGAGAAAAATCCTGGAATGTTTTTATCAAAAACCTTAATTTCTTTTCGACTGAAGAAAGAAAGACATGGACATCTTGGATGACATGGGGGTGAGTAAATTATCAGCAAAAGTTTTTTTAAAAGTGAACTACTCCTTTAAGGCAGGAATGTGTTTTTACAGTGCAGAATTCAGATTTTCTTTGATAATCAGTTAAGAAAATGTGGGGTAAAAGATTATGTGTGGGTCTACAAATGTTACTTCTTCAAGCATTTCACTTTTACGACTGTGATTAAATATCTGAGTACAACACAAACAACATAAGATACTGTGTTGAGACATAAACTCTCTCTTTAAGATGTTTCCACTAAGGCAGTTGTACCTGGAGGTTTAAGGAACTGCAGCCCATCCGTATGACCCATAGTATGTAGAAACTCAACCAGTTCACCCAACTTACATCCTTGATCTCCAATGAGTTTGAGCAGAGTGCGGGAGGGACTACCTTCCGCCTCCAAAGCCTTCAGTGAACACATGTCCATGTCATTGAGACTGCCCATGTGAGTAGAAGGGGGGTGGGGTCTGTGAGTTTATTTGTGCATATTTGCATATTACATTAAAATGAAACATGAATAAAGAAAAATAGAGTTGTTACCTCACTTTGAATCGGCTGTCACTTTTCACAATCTCCCCCAGTTTTCGCCATCCCTTATTGTTGGCCTTATCAAGAGACTCACAGAGTCTCTTTAACACAGATTCTTTCAAGAAATTTATGTTGTCATTCAAATCTGACATGATTGAGGATAATGGCTCATGCACAACTGTGCTGAACTCAGGTTTAAATGTTCAGCAAAGCACCTGCAATATGAAACATTGACATACTTCATATGAAAGATATACATTTTTTTCTATATATGACAATTTTTTAAAATTTATTTGACACCACATGACCTAAAAAAAACAGCAAAAAATCTTGAAATAAAAAACTTGATGGTGACCAACACCTAAAATATAAACTTTACCTTAAACATTTATATATTTAGCCTATATATATATATATATATATATATTACAGCCAGACCGATATATCGACCGGCCGATATTATTGGCCGATATTAGGCATTTTCCAAAATATCGGTATCGGCAGTTATAATGGCCGATAAATGAATATTTAAAAAATAAAATAAAAATGGACGAAACATGCTTCAATCATCTCTCCTTGGCCTGTTATATTGAAAATGTATGTTTTACAATTTGCAGTATGATGTTATCTATTGCTAAATTATGGCTCATCATAGACTAGGTAACCACAAAGCTAGCTAATGCCACTATCATCAGTGGAAGACCGCTAACGTTAACAATGAGCTTGGAAACCACAATTAACTTTTTCTACCTAAAAAAAAAGTAATTATTACTGTATTTATAACTAGCATATCTCTAGTTACAGTCCCTGCATTGTAAAATGTAAGTTAGACTTGCGAGGAGTGAACATTTAGACATAGAGAAAAAGTATCAAACATATTTTGTGCAGAAAAGTTAGCTTTTCTTTTACACGTGTGTGAAATCCAACAATATTTAATAAAAAAAATAAAATAAAAAATATCAGCCGATATATCGGAATATCGGATTTTAAAACCCAAAAATATTTGTAACGGTATCGGCCTTCAAAATCCTTAATCGGTCGGGCTCTAATATATATATATATATATATATATATATATATATATATATATATATATATATATATAGATAGATAGATAGATAGATAGATAGATAGATAGATAGATAGATAGATAGATAGATAGATAGATAGATAGATAGATAGATCTGAATCAACCTTCATTAAATTATTTCCACTTAAAGTTTTTTTATTTGGGTCAGCTGAGTGAAAGTACTAAAGGGTTAGTTTAAATTAAAATGTAAAATTCAGTCATAATTTGTGACCTTTCATGATGTTCCAAACCTGAAAGACTTTATCTCTGTCCGTGGAATACAAATTAATGAGATGTTAGAGTCCAAGTCAACAATGTATGAAAATGCAATTAAATTGAATGGAGGCACTTTATCATCTTTTATTATTATTATTATTATTATTTATTTTTTTTTACAGAAGAGTAAGTCGATAAGTTTTTAGATCAGAGGTTTGGAACGAAAGGAAGAGTACTACAACATTTTCATATCTTGAACAACCTTTAAGATAGTTTCACTTTTTACAGTGACTTCACCAACCGCATATCGAGTGATGAAGGTTTGTAAACTTATGAAGGTTTGTAACTTTGTGACAGCGCCATCCTATTTTTTATTTTCAAATGCAGATTACTCAACTGTTATGAATTTCTAAAAGTAAATGTTTAGGCAAGCAAACAGAGATAAAACAGATTAGAATTCACCACGAAAACAATGAAGTAGCCTAATAGCCTATCAGAAAGAGTGTAAACATCGGTCGCATACCTCAGGCAGATCAGTTGACATGTATCCCATTATACGTGTAGCCTATCCCATTAATCCTTCGCTGCACACTGACTGATGCGGGGAAATCCAACTTACTAAACATACGTGTGTATGCATCACTTCCTGATGTCTAACAAAGAGGAAGGTGTTCATCTCGTCTCTCCCGAGTTCAAAGAGTCTTTAAACGGAAGTGTGTTCTTGTAGTCAAAGAGAGAGAGAGAGAGAGAGAGAGAGAGAGAGAGAGAGAGAGAGAGAGAGAGAGAGAGAGACTCGCTGTTTTTCTATGGGCTTTTAAAACTATTAGAAATAGTATGTATGTTTAAAATGTATGTTTAAAATGTATGTCTAAAATGTATGTTTGAGCTGTCTTAAACTTGTCTTAAACTTGGGTAACACTTTACTTGAAGAGGTGTGCATAAGACTGACATGACACCTTCATAACCATGACATGACATATGTAGGATTTATGCATGTTTATGATAACTGTCATTAAGTGTCTTTCGCTCAATAATGACATTTTGAATGCAAATATGACATTGTTTAAGATGTCTTTGTTATGACAACTTGACAAACCATAACATCATAACATGTCAGAGTCTTTGTCATGACAACTTGACATAAAATTAAGTTAAACTGTCATATGTGGATGGCTTTCACATTGGCTGTCATGAGGCCCTTATAGACCATTTCACAAGATGTAAACAACACTGGTCCAGAAGCACTTCCTGTTTCAGTTTTTTAACACTACATAAAAGCTGGGATAAAATACAACCAACAGAACATTTAAAACTGAATCAAAAAGTTAAACAAACATCTTTAAGATGTTTTTTTTTTACATGTGAAATAAAGAAAACAGTTACAAACTAAAACAGGAAGTGCTTCTGGACCAGTGTTGTTTACATCTTGTGAAATGGTCTATAACTGGGTCACGAATATTTTTCGTGACCTCAACTACAGTGGTACTAATATAATTTGCCATTAAAAAGTTATAATGACTTCATGACAGTCAATGTCAAAACCAACCACCTGACAGTTTAATGTAGCCTAATGTTAACCAATAAAGCTAGGTGGTTTCTTAAGTTTGATAATTAATATGCTATGTCATGTTTATGACAGGTTGTGTTGTCTTAGTAATGTCAAGTTGTCATGACAAAGACACTGACAGGTTATGATGTACTGTTTTATGTCAAGATGTCATAACAAAGATATCTCAAACAATGTCATATTTGCATTAAAAATGTCATAACTGAGCGAATGACACTTAATGACAGTTATCACAAACATGCATAAACCCTCCTTCATACTTATGACATGACATCATGTCAGTCTTATGCACACCCCTTCAAGTAAAGTGTTACCGAAAATTGCACTGACATATATCATTTTTCTCAAGAAACATATCAGTAATATTTTTTTTCTAAGGCACCTTTAAAAGCTACTAAAATGCCCCAATTAAAATAAAGCCTAATCCTTGTTTAATCGAACAGCAGTCAGTGCAGCCAGGCCTTGTTTTCTGGAAAAAAAAAAAAAAAAAAGAAAAAAGATAATCAAAACTATCGAGTTTATGCATAAAAAAGAAAGTAAATTTAATTTAATTTAAAAATGTATTAAATTTAATTAAAAGGGAAACCAAGATTATTGTTTTTCTTATTTTAAGCATAAACGGCACATACAGTAATTATCACAACGAAGTAACTCAAGTGCATCTTGATTCAATAATGTTTATAAGCTATCTGTACTGGAAAAAGGTAGGAAGACCAAAAGAGATTTTATTCATTTAAATGACTAAATGAAATAATAAATATTAGGACTTATAAATCCAAATTTGTCTGGGAGGGAATCCTGATTTCTTCAAAGAAAAGGGGTGAATTAAACTAAGAAATAGCTTGATTTTTTTTTTAAGCTTGTTTTATCTTATTTAAAATAATTAAGTCATTGTGGGTCCCCTTGGGAGTTTGCTGAGGCCCTCTAGTGGGCCCTGGCCTGCTGCATGGGAATTCACTGCCAAGTCCTATCAACAAGAACACTTAAAGCACTATCTATTTATCTGTGTGTTTTTTTTTTTTCTCTTTGACAGCCTTATTCCCATAACTTTAAATAAAAAAAGAAGAAGAAAAAAACATTTTTAAACATCAAGAAATGGCTTTATTAGGCGAACATCAATGTTTTATATCGACGAAATTTCCTCATCTGCTTCAGTTGCTCTAACACACGCCGTCACCGTGTCACCATTGGCCCGTGATGTGTGTGATGCAAGTAACATCATACCCAATATGCCACTCCTCAAGACTCACAGCAGCTTTAAGGCTGTTTGTGTGCAAGCAACAGGAGACTGGGACTGCGGTGTCAAAAGGCTGACTTTTTATTTGGCCTTTTCACTCTGATAGTGTGCGTTTTGAGGGGAGACATCGCTTCGGATAAACTGTTTTAGGGAAACAGTCTAAAATGCAGCACGTTTGTGGATTATGGGAAAATCACAGGTGAAGCTGTGTGTGTAATATCGGTCACGGATTGGGTGGCGGATCCAGGTGAGTCTCCGCGTTAAGACTCGATATTACAATGTTTATAAAGCGGTGGACACTCTTGTGCACTTATTTTGTTCTGTGCCATAATACCTCGATCAAAATGTGTATTTCATGTAAGGATAAACAGCTGCGTCTTTAAAATTTGCACTAGGCTACCTTATTCTTTAGTCATTCTTGGATAATTGACTTGCCTATATGTTTAAACAGATAATTTTATTTTATGTAGCCTATTTTTCATTGGCTGTTTAAATAGGATTATATTGAAGGAAGCAAGGATTTCACGAATACAACGTGTTGTTGATCCTGTAAAAACATTTCAATCAACCAATCATTTGAGAGACATGTTTACAGTTTGTCAAGGTTTGGCTTACAACCAGGGTTAGGTGCTTCTTCATCAGTGTTACTTAACGTTACCTAAACTGAAAAAAAAAAAAAATGAAAAAAAAAATTAAAGATTTAAATTAACCAACTTAAATCAACTTGGATGTTTAAGTCATTTCAACTTAAATTACATTAAACTGACTTAGCTGAAAAATTAAAAAAAAAAAAAAATTAAAAAAATTTTAAAAAAATTGCTGAATCTTGTACAGTATAAAAATATATTATATATATGTATATATAATAAAAAATTAATAAAATTGCAATGCAAAAACATATGTTGTCATACCTTATTGATCGTTTAATTTGTTTTTTTTATAATTTCCCTCAGATTTAAGGAAAAAGTTATGGGCAGGGTTAGGTTTAGGGCCGGGGGTAGGAATACAGTTATGGCTAAATTTACAGACTGGAAAGTAGTAAAATATTGATCCAGGAACATCTTACTTGGCAAAATCACTGTGGACCAGAAGCATAGTCTACATGACATAATCTCTTTCTCCAGCCTATACATTTTTTGTTCAGCTGGGATCATGAACTGGGATCATGGGTTGACAGTCTGACCTGCCTCGTCTCGGCGTACTGAAGCAATATGTGTTTGTTTATGGCTATCACGTTGTTATCAGTGACTGAGAATGCGGTGGCAAAATTAGCCCCTGGAGAAAAGACCAAATGAGACTGGAGTTTAAATTCAGTAATGCTATGCAGTTTGCTGTTCCCTACCCTAGTAATATTTTGATCATCAGATGAAAAGATTTTTTGGTAAAAACTTGCCTATTGCAAAATATGTATTCTATGACAATTCTTTAGACCGTTTATAGATTTAGTTTGATCCTTGATGGTACTTGACCTCCACTGCCAGCTTTTAAATATTTAGTTATTTGCTTAATGTTTGGGTGGTGAGGGGCTAATTTCTTTCATGGACCCCATTGTCTTCTAGAGTCAGATCGATGTAACACGGCCGGCCGATATTATCGGCCGATTTTACGTATTTTCCAAAATATCGGTATCGGCAGTTATAATGGCCGATAAATGAATATTTCAAAAATAAAAATAAAAACGGACGAAACACACTTCAATCATCTCTCCTTGGCCTGTTATATTGAAAATGTATGTTTTACAATTTGCAGTATGATGTTATCTATTGCTAAATTATGGCTCATCATAGACTAGGTAACCACAAAGCAAGCTAATGCCACTATCATCAGTGGAAGACCGCTAACGTTAACATTAATGAGCTTGGAAACCACAATGAACTTTTTCTGCCTAAATAAAGTAATGATTACTGTATTTATAACTAGCATATCTCTAGTTACAGTCCCTGCATTGTAAAATATAAGTTAGACTTGCGAGGAGTGAACATTTAGACAGAGAAAAAGTATCAAACATATCTTGTGCAGAAAAGTTAGCTTTTCTTTTACACGTGTGTGAAATCCAACGACGCCAAGTGTGCGTTGCAGACTGTCGTTCTGTAATGGATTTAGATTAGAATCGCCAAATAGTAGTTTTTTAGAAGGCAGGCAGCAACTGATGATTGAAAATGGTTTGATGTAGCTTGATGGAAAGAATTAAAAAAGTGCAGGTAAAGGGATAAGCAAGCTGATATTGTAATTATAAGGTAGCTTATAAGGCAATGTAGGGACTAATAATTATTTTATTTATCAAAACTGTAATATATTTTCATGTTCCTCTGTTCTGTTGTGACAATAAAATAAACAAGTTTCATTTTAAAATGCTTTATCATATTATTTTAGTTAAAACTCATAAATAACGACAAATAATTATGTTAGGGGAATCTGTTAATGTTTTGTTGCACGTTTCTGGAAAAAATAAATAAATAAAAAATATCGGCCGATATATCGGAATATCGGATTTTAAAACCCCAAAATATTTGTATCGGTATCGGCCTTCAAAATCCTTTATCGGTCGGGCTCTATGGGCTCTATGCACGGCGGTATTTCCGGTGAAGGATTAAGGATGCTCAATAACTTCCGCCGATCGTAGAGTCTAATGCAATACCGAGAATTTATATTGAATTTTATACTCCATGGTTATAATAAAGAAACGTTAGTCACAAAAACAGATAAAACGGACACCCCTCGTTGTGTTTATGCTTCTTTTTAAAATTATATTAAGTAAACATAACTATATTTAAAATTACATCTAAACGTATGTACGTTTCGTTTCAATGACGGGAGGACAGTAAATTTTGAAGACTCTGCCATAATCCCGTTTTCTCGGTTCTCCTCCGCTTAAATCTCCACAACCGGAAATGGACGAGCATCCTTGCGTCAAATGCGGAACTTATGCGTGCATATAGCCCATTGTTTTCCATAGAATTTCTTTTCCTACTGATGACTTCCATCAACTTTCTAGTTATGGACATTCTTCAAAATATCTTCCTCCGTGTTCAGCAGAACAAAGAAATTCATACAGGTTTCAAACAACTTGAGGGCGAGTAAATGATGACAGAATTTTCATTTTTAGATAAACTATTCCTTTAATTTCAAATGTTTTGAGGTCCTTTAAACCTGGACTTCAGCCCACTTCCTTATCAACATTATGCATATAATGTGGGAAAATAAAAGACTGTCACAGACAATACTGTAGCTTGTCAGATTTATACCAAGTTCATTGCATGAACATTTGGGTTAATCTCGTCCTTGGCATTTTGAAGACTTTCTTGGCTTGGCAAAACGAAGACCATTTTGAAGTTTGTAAATAAAGCCGATGGCATGTCCCTGTAACTAAAACATGTAAACTCAAAATGCTTTGTATGGATTGGAACGAGATATTGTTGCCAAGTGTTTCTAAAAATGATCCAAAAACATAAAGCAGATTAATGGCCCTTTCAATCTGTGTCTCTCATTGGAACTCACCATTTCTACGACAGTAACTTTCCATTATGTCACCTCTCTGCGCCTGTCCTATTTTTTCTGTTTCTGTGTTAAACATCTCTTCTGTGATCATGATGTGCTTGTGCTTTTTTTTGTTTGAATAGAGAACATAATTTTGTATGATTAGTTTGTGATTGTGCTGCTCTCATAATCAGAGCCTTATCAAATCAGAATGTCACTTTTCACCACACTCTTTGAAAAAAGGGTTCATTGGGGTTCTATGAAGCATACATAGGGTTCTTTACTCAACTCCAAAGAACCTTCTATGCTAAAAAAAGTTCTATAATGACAAGAAAGAATCCTTTTGGGACAGAGGTTCTTTATAGTCTAATATGCATTCATATATTACATTATTCTGCAACATTTTGTAGTTGTAATTAAATTATTGTTGATTAAACTTGTAGTAACTTAATATCACATTTTAATCATGCTGCTTTTTGGAGGAGAAAAGCTGATATGGCACTCTTTGTGTGATATTGATTAACTACATAAAATGATATAAATATATACATTTTCTAACCCTCATATTTTGAATTTTGTGATCATTCACATGCATTAATAAATACATTTTAGGGACTTGATGTTTGTCAATAATATGAAATATTTAAACAAATGATAATGAATGAACCAAAAAGGTTCCATATTTTCCTGGTTACACAGAACCCTAAAAAAGCCTTTTTAGGGGTTCCAAATACGACGCACTGATAGAACCTTTTCTTAGCTGAGTGTATTAATTTACTACATACGCATACACAATAAAACAATCCACTAATACCGTCATGGCTATTATTCGTGAAATCAGAGAAGGATCATCTTTTTTTATATATGTCTTGGCATAGAGTTTGTTAACTTGATGCGATTGTATAAATAATGACCTTTCAGCGGCGTGATGAGTGAAGGTGTTTACCCATGCTAAGTGGTTGTTTTGGATGTCTAGATTGATGTTTAAAGTAGAAACAAACTCTACAGGTGGTACTTAACATGCTTGGAGTGGACACCTTATTGACTTTGTGGACGTTTATTTCTAATGCAGGAAATATGCGGAGAGATGCAGAGCAGGCGCTGACTCTGATATGGCTTCTCTCTTGGATCCCACACAGCATGTGTAAGTGAGCAAAGCAGGACTTTAAAAACAAAGTCAGCCAGTCAATTTAGTGCACACAGGATTTTTTTTCGTTTGTCTATACATGTGCAGAATTGAATTCCTGTATTTGAATTGATGTCGCTAACAGGGTGCATATTTTTAAATTCTATATTTTGAGTTTAACCAAATATCTATATGTATAGTTTTTAATAATACATTTTATTTTTCAATATGAAATACCCATAAACACACAACATATGGACTATTTCCAGAATAGTCAGTAATAGGGTGTTCTATAATAGGCTTTTACAGATATCATATACTCTTCAATTACAATATCTCTCCAGGTCATTCTCCCCCAGGGAGGCCCAGACTAACAAAATGTCGGTCACCTGAGAAAGAGACCTTTACATGCTGGTGGGAGCCTGGATCCACTGGTGGATTGCCCACCAGCTACCACCTGTATTATAGAAAAGAGAGGTTAGTGCAACCTAAATCACTATTCATAATAACTGTACCTTTTAACTTGCCTTTAAAAAACAAAACATCTTTTCCACTGTATTAATTCATGGACAGATGCCTCATTGCACTGTAAAAAAAAATATTTTCAAGATTTGTTATCACAATATTTTTTTTTCTTTTGTCAAATCAACTTAAATAATTTATTTAGTTGAGATAACTTATTATTTTGAGTTTCTGATGATTAAATCAATCTCCTTCATTGTATTAACTCACTTTTTCCAGTTCAATCAACAATCAAAATTTTAAGGCAACCAGGTTACTTAATTTTTTAAGTTAAAAAAAACATTTTTTTTACAGTGTGTGCGCTTATTCTGACACAGTTTCGAATATACACTGTAAAATAAATTGTTGGTTTAACTTAAAAAGTAAGTAACCTGCTTGCATTAAAATTTTAAGTTGATTAAACTGGAAAAAGTGAGTTAATACAATGAAGGAGATTGATTTAATCACAAGAAACTCAAAATAATAAGTTATCTCAACTAAATAAATTATTTTGACCAAAGAAAAAAATGTTGTGATAACAAATCTTGAAAATATTTTTTTTACAGGGTAGGCTTTGTTTGGCGCAATAAGATATCCAACGATTTACTCTATTGTTTAAATGTGTAGGTTAGTAAGATTTTTGAATGCTTTTGAAAGAAGTATTTTATGTTCACAAGATGGCATTTATTATTTGATTAAAAAATGCAGTTATTATTCTGGTTGATGAATTCAAAGGAACAGCTGTAAAAAAATGTTTTCATGATTTGTAATCACAACATTTTTCTTTTGTCAAATCAACTTAGATCATTTATGTAGTTCAGATAACGTATTTTGAGTTTCTGGTGATTAAATCACACTCCTCCATTGTATTAACTCAATTTTTCCATTTCAAACTTCCATTTGAACTTTTTTAAGTTAAACCAACAATATTTTTTACAGTGTATATCTGATACATTTTTGATCACTTTAATGCATCTTTGCTGAAAGCAACTCTTTAAAATGAATTTATTGAATAACATATTACTGACCTTAAACTTTCGAACTGTAGTGTATATTTGTAGCTCTCGTCATTTTTTTTGTTATTCTCTAAATATGAACATTTGTACATGGCACACACATCTATTAATAAGCGCACTAAAGCTATTATGAGTTCATGTTTACATATTGTATAACTATACATCTCAGGTTTTGGTTCATCTGTTGTCCAAAAGTTAGGTCATCAGTTTAAACTTTTAAACCATCAATAAACTTTTTTCAGCTCCGTGGAAGTCTTTGAATGCCCTGATTATCATAAGGCGGGGAACAATTCTTGTTATTTTGATAAGCGCCACACTTCCATTTGGATCATATACAACATCACAGTGGTGGCCTCCAATGCACTGGGAAAAGCCTATTCGGAATCTGTGGAAGTTGATGTTATGGATATCGGTGAGTTCATGTATTGTGTTTACAATATATTAAAATGCATCAAAAAATGGATTTGTTTTCATGTGCTTGCAAAATGCCCCTAGGGGAAACTGAGCATGCATGAATGGTTAATGATGTTTTACTACAGAGACCAATTTCAGGGTTGTTTTGACAACAGCCACAGTGCAGCGAGCTGCCTGCTAAATATAGTGTATATTAAACAGGGATGGGCGACTTCAGTCCTGGAGGGCCACTGTCCTGCAGAGTTTAGTTCCATCCCTTCCTGTCATTTTCAAGGATTCATGAAGACATTTATTAGATTTTTGAGGTGTATTTGATTAGAAATGGAGATAAACTTTAGCCCTCCAGGAGAGAAGTTGAAGTTGCCTATCCCTTATTTAATCTCAATATGCTGCTACATAAAGGCACATGCAGCTTAAAGGAGTAGTTCACTTTAAAAAAAAAAAAAAAAACTTTGGCTGATAATTTACTCACCCTCATGTCATCCAAGATGTCCATGTCTTTCTTTCTTCTGTCGAAAAGAAATGATGAAAACATTCCAGGATTTTTCTCCATATAAAACACTTTACTGGTAACCAAACCTTACTGGTTTCAGGGCTTTAAACGATTCCAGACGATGAATAAGGGTCTTATCTAGCGAAACGATAACAATAAAAAATAACAAAGTTTAAATTTTAGAAGCACAAATGGTCGTCTGTGATGCGCGTTTGTGACTCCTGTTCGAACTCGTTCATCAAAATGAAAGAATATTTTCCCGAGTCAATTTGTTCATTTCGTTCGTTAAATGAACCAAATGAAAAAAAAAAAAAGATTTGTTCATTTTTTTTCAAATTCATTGTCTGGAATCGTTTAAAGCCCTTTGAACAGTTTGCAGTTTGCACTGAAACTGTCTTTTGAACCTTGAACCGTTTGGTTCCCATTGAAGTCCATTATATGGAGAAAAATCCTGGAATGTTTTCATCAAAAACCTTAATTTCTTTTCGACTGAAGAAAGAATGACATGGACATCTTGGATGACATGGGGGTGAGTAAATTATCAGCAAAAGTTTTTTTTTTTTTTTAAAGTGAACTACTCCTTTAATTTCCTCATGCTGAAACTGTTTATTACAGCGCTTTTGTTACTATCAGTTAGATCATTCTAGTAGAACACAAGGCAGATAACGCTGCATTTGCAATTATATAGTTTAGTTATTTCCCCTAAACCATTGCAGTTCCTGCTAGAAATGTGTGTGCACTGGGTTTATCCATCTGTAACGGTGAGTTAAACGGTGACGACTTTTAGAGCGTCTGAGTGGAATGGAAAAGTACTAAATGGCACTAAACAGAGGCCGCTCTGACTGACTGAACAGAATGAGGAGGAACAGGTTTGTGTCTTGCATATTGCAAAACTCAAGCCATGTATCGAATATCCAAGATGCTTGAATTTGCTGGCATATGGTTGATGTTCTAACACACTGGGTTTTTTTTTTTTAACTGATTAAGTGTATAAAAACAGTTGTTCAGACAGAGTATGCTTCGTTTTTCAAAAAAAGTTCACCATGGCTGCATTTATTTGACCAAAAATTCACAATATTACTATTTAAATGAACTGTTTTCTGTTTGAATGTATAATTAAAACATTTATTTATTCCTGTGATGGCAAAGCTGATTTTTTTGTCAATAAATGAAGAGTTCAGATGCAAAAGCCTCTAAATGCCATTTGAAATTTTCTTCTAAAATGACCATTTTTATCAAGCTTGTATATAATTTCACTTAAATGACAATTAATAGGTAATCTTCATTGCCATTTAAGTGAAATTACTGAACTTAAATATACAAGCTTGATAAAAATGATCATTTTAGAAGAAAATTTAGAGGCTTTTGCATCTGAACTCTTCAAATCTTACCTCTCTGACCTTTTGTGTGAACACCGTCAAGAGAGAACTCTTATGTCCACCAACCAGAGTTTATTAACTGTCAAAGTTCAAATCTAGGGATGATTGCGTTTTCACAGTAGCTGTATCTCAACCTTTTTCTATTATAAATGCTGCTAAACAGTTCATTTTTTTCAAACCAAAGTTAAAAACATATTTTCTCTTTAGCATACAACTTGTGATGTCTTTTACTGTCTGGTGTTTTTTATGCCCTGTTTTACATTCATTATTTATTATGGTGGGTTCTATTGTATTTTTAATTCATTCTAGTACATTGTACAGCACTGCTGTTGTTTTAAATTGTGCTTTATAAATACAATTGAATTGAATGGTAGTGTACAAGAAGCATATGTGGGATAGCCATCCATAGACCCTATTCAGTTCATTCCTTTTTTTAAGTAAATGTGTTGTTGTCACTGTTCAGTTGCACACTGATTGTAATGGAACATCGTGTCTGTGCAGTAGCGTTGTTAACTACCACCCAAACCATGCAAATTCATAGGGCCCCGCAGGCTTGGGGGCCCCTGCTGGACAAAAGCAATTGACTCAATTCATGTCTCCGTTTGACATTACTTATTACCAGGCGGTCTGGATAAGTAGAACGAAACAACCATGAAGCGCACATACCCAATAGGACCTGAAAAAAGAAATACAATGCTGAAAGTAAATGCTGAAGTCCCAGGTCACACACTGAACAAGCTGTGTCCGCACCGTCATTGCCTGTATTTACTGGCAGGGCAGCTATAGGGTTGGAAATCGAATCGCATACTTAAGGTCAGGAATCAGATATTTGTTACCGCTTATCGATTCCTGTGTTCACAATTAAAGGAGCCGTATGTGGAGCCGATTGTGGCCAAAACTGGTACTGCAATCACTTTCATCAACATCAGTTGAGGGCTGCAACTTCACTTTTTAAATGACAATATCCTGGCCGGACTACTGTTGTCAGTGATATAAGTATTTGAAATTAACATGATTTCTTAATGTCTCGTGATATATCAGGGCCATTTTATGATTATTTGAAATAAATGTCTTACATACATCTCCTTTAATGTGATTTTCAACCATTCAAGCGCAAGAAGATGCACTCGCCTCTCATATGGGGTGAAAAAAATACTGAATTTAATTGAGTTCTCTTGCTTTTGAACAGACAAACACACACACAAGGACACTTTGACAATTTTGTCAGATCTTGACTGAATAACTTTAAAGAGTAACTAAACACTTAACCAACTTTTTTTAGTTAATGATCTGTAAGAATGGATCTTTATTAATACCAGTCATTGATTCGAGTAACTTTTATGGCATTTGTTTATAAAGTGTTCTATTTCTACAATATATGGTGTAAAAACGTCTTAGTGCTGCCCTCTTCAGGTTGAACGGTGGCTACTGCAGTTGAATTTTCCTATTGGATGTTTGCGGTGGTACGCGACTCAGCGGTTGTTGGTGACGTAGGCAAGTTCCATACAAAGAGATGCATCTCAGGTGCACGCCCCCCTCTGCTGGGCTCTGCCCAATTTTCCAGCATTTTTCAAATATTGCCAGTGAGTGGAGTCAGGCTCTGACCAGGGGTTTAGTTACCCTTTAACTTTACAAAGGATTCATCTATATTTTATTTATAAAAAGAAAACTATATGCAGTGTTATTTTACATTTGATTATTTTTGATTTATTGCGCTTGGTTCAGTTGTATTTATTTGTGCTACTGCTAATTTCTTCGTTTCTGTTATTACTAAAAATAATGTCTATTATTAAACAAACAGTTTCATGGTCTTTATTAATGGTTTGAATGTATATTATAAGTTGTTTTTGCTGATATTTTTGTTAAATCCTATAGGCAAAGTTCCTCGTGTAAGTGTTCTTGAGGCTGCTGGGCTTTGTTTGTGGTGTTCAGCTGTAACAAAATGTTTTGCAAAAAGACAGTATACATATGTCTGATATCTAAATGTTTGATTTTTATTTATTTATTTTTACCAGAAAAATTGGAATCGATAGGAGTCACAACAACAGTGGTGATCATGTGTATGCAACGTGTCTGCCTCTGTTGTAAGCTTTTTGAAAGTGGAAGCATATTGGTGAGGGGGATGGCGGGTCCTGACTTTTGCTTAGGACCCCCCAAATCGGTAAACCCACCCCTGTGTCTGTGCAGTTGAATGTCATTTAAGATGATTGATCTTCTTTCACACAGTGCAGCCTCACCCTCCAGAGAATGTGAATGTGACATTGATGCTGACCAAGAACAGTCCATATTTCCTGGTGCAGTGGCAGCCTCCCCATGACGCAGACACCCGCTCAGGCTGGGTAACCATCAAATATGAAGTTCGCTTAAAAAACAGCGGAGACGAGGCCTACAGCAGCGATTGGGAGGTGAGATTCAAAATGTTTCATGGTCACCAAGGTTCTGAAAAAAATGTTCTTATGATTTGTAAAACTGAACTTGGGGTCTATAAATAAAACTTTGGATTTTCTTTAAAGTCCCCGTGAAATCAAAATTGAACCCATTTACTTTGTTAGCGCATATTACTAGTCTTGTGGTGAACAATTAATCCGTGCAAGTGAATATATATTAAAAAAATGTTTTACCTTAGTAATCTTTAATCAAAATCTGAAAAGTTACTTCCGGTCTGGAACGGTTTCTTTTTCTGATGACGTAGGTTTCACAACTTGGGTGGGGAAACGCTTAACCACTCCCCTCAAACCGTTAGTTTGCTATGAGCGAGAGATGGAGAGGAGGAGCGCTAGAGTAAAACCCTGTCCTCTGTTCAATATTCCGTTTCACTTGGAAATACGTCACAGCACTGGAGAAAAATCGTTTGCAACTTCCGGTTCACGGGGACTTTAAAGGAGTAGTTCAATTAAAAAAACCAAACTTTTGCTGATAATTTACTCACCCCCATGTCATCCAAGATCCATGTCCATGTCTTTCTTTCTTCAGTCGAAAAGAAAATAAGGTTTTGAAAATGAACGAATCTTTTTCAGTGTCAATTCGTTCATTTCGTTCGTTGAATGAACCAAATGACTCGAAAAAAGATTTGTTCATTTTGATGAACGAGTTCGAACAGGAGAGTCGCATCACAGAACAGAGCAAGGCGAGCATTTGAGCTTATACAACTTAAACTTTGTTATTTATTTTTTTAAATGAGCGATCGTTTCGCTTGATAAGACTCTTATTCATCGTCTGGAATCATTTAAAGCCCTTTGGACAGTTTGCACTGAAACTGTCTTCTGGACCTTGAACCGTTTGGTTCCCAATGAAGTCCATTATATGGAGAAAAATCCTGGAATGTTTTCTTCAAAAACCTTAATTTCTTTTCGACTAAAGAAAGAAAGATGACATCTTGGATGACATGGGGGTAGTAAATTAACAGCAAAGGTTTTTTTAAAAGTGAACTACTCCTTTAACTATCTAAAAATTCCATATAATTATATGTACATTTGCTTCTAAATTATGATTAATTTTTAAATTTATTATGAAAAAGAAACTCTCCTTTTTATAATAGGTTTTAAGAAGCTAATTTTTGCATTTCTAAGTTTTGATACCATGTAATTATTATGATCGAGACACATTCTTCTTGTGTTTGTAGTCATATGGTGCTGGAAAACAGTTGGAGTTTAGCATCTATAGTCCTCAGCCGGGAGCAAAGTACGTCGTGCAAGTGCGCTGCAAACTAGACCAAGGCTTCTGGAGTGAATGGAGCCCATCCGCTTTCATCCAGATTCCAGACAGTAAGATGATACCAGCAACAGCAACTCAATCTTTCACACCTTCCAGCCATTGTTCTACATTACTGAGCATGTTTAGCCTTACACAACAGTGTGCAGGATAGAGGAAAGTAATAATAATAAAGATATTTTTTTTTAACAATTCTGCATTTAAACATTTTAAAGGGGACCTAAGACCTCAAAGTCTTACTAAAATTGTTTTTTATGCTTGAATTAAAAAAAAAGTCACATATTTTACATTAGCCTATTGCAGCATCTCTCATCGCAGCCTCTCCGAAACTCTCGGTTTAGTTCCCAGCTCTGCGAAAAATGCAATGCGATCTGATTGGTCAACTGCTTTGAGTGTGTTTTGGAAATGTCAAATTCGACGCACTACTAATGTAATTTAACCATCTGGCCTTTATTTGCATATGCTTTGGACGGGAATTACTGTGTAAATGACGTTCCCGGTAGACAACTGAAGACAACAATTGAGGCATTTCAGGCAGTTCGGAAACAGTGCTTTTAGTTATTGATGAAGAGAATAACTCCTTTGGAGTGGATTTTGTGCTTTGTAACTCAGGACCTGTTTAACTCAATATACAGCATTAAAGGATGATGATGACACTTTAAAGTAAAAACAAGTCTGTGTGTCTCTTATTTTGCAGCTATGTCTGAAACACAGAACGCAGTTATGATCCTTGCCGTCACTCTATCTGTCATAATTTTTCTGCTGACTGCAGGAGTGCTGACAGTCAAGATGAAACAGTAAGCATGACAAGGGGTTTACACTAATGACAGTGCATAAAAGATAACAGTTTTCCCAGGATTTCCTTTAGAATCCAGAATTATGTGCATGAGACAAATTGAACATTAACGTAATATTGAATCCACCTTATTTTTCAACAGTTTTCTGATTCACTAGCAACTGTAGGTCAATAACTAGAAGAATAACAATGTGTAGTAAATGGTAAAAGTATTTGTGCTATGAAACATGTTTCATTACTATAATAAATTACAATAATATGATAACAAATACTTGCTGCATAATGAAATGTTTTTTCTCAAATGAAACAACTGGAACCAGCTGTCAGCAAAAGTTTTGCATCTTCAAGTTAAATAAGACTATGCCCGCTCTTACATTAGAAATAAGTTAATTCTGCGTTTTCGCATTCTTCTCTAGGGTGAAGCATTTTTTACTGCCACCAGTTCCAGAACCGAAGATCAGTGGCATAGACACTCAGCTCCTTAAGGTACAGTAGACACTACCATAATTTGTGCATTTCTAGCTTGTTAAAGAGGCCATATCATGCATTACTTTATAATTTCATTTTCCCCGAGATTGACTTATAATGTTAGTGCTGTTTTATTTACAATATAGTGCCTTTAAAGTGCCCCTATTATGCTATATTAAAGGTTCTTCATTTTGTTTTGGAGGTCTTCTACAATGTTTACCAACGCATTCTCATCCTTATAGAACGCTATATGCAAAAACGTCGCTATACTACGCACATGGCACCCGTTATCGTTAATATAACACACACCTAAGTTTAGGTGTGGGGTAGGGTCTGCGTGTCATATTCACGCTAAAGGATTTATGACGCCTTGGGTTCGCGTGTTATATTAACGATAAAGGGTGCCATGTGCGTAGTATAGCGCCGTTTTTGCATATAGCGTTCTAGATGACGTTAAAGGATGAGAACAGGCTGTGTTTACATGCATCCAAGGTCAAAAACACATTTATTTTCCCATAATAAACATTGCACATCACCACATTTTTCAATGATTCTCAAACGATTATCTCAAACGACAACTTTCCGTGAAACTTCTCTGCTCTGATTGGGCAGACTGCCCAGTCTGTTGTGATTGGTCTACCACATAAAGCGCGTGTCGGAAGCTAAATGTTCATTACCATAACTGAATATCGGCTCCAGAGGCTTCCTCAGTCCTCGGCGATTGTACACACTGTAAAGATGGTAACGATTTAATTTTAACATATCAATCCGGACGCGAGTCCGCCAGATGAAACATTGGAACAACTAGTTATTTAACCCGAACCTCAACCGCAATGACGATCTGACCAGGACATTTCTCATTGATGCGCTACTCAGTTTGAGGTACATTATGAGATGTTACAACTGTAATTCCTCACCATCACGATTAGTGTATGTCCATCAACAAACTGATGTGTATATTTCTAATAGTATTTTCAGAACGTATTACGTTTCGGAACGTATAATAGTATTATCTTCTCGACATAAAAACGCGAACCAGCTACAGTGTTTTAGGGTGGGTCAAAGTAGACATTGTTCGCATGCAGCCAGTGAAGACCATAGGTGGATATTATGCAATTGTGCGAATGTGTTACCTTTTGATTGTTTTGTTTGGAAGACAATAACTTTATTTATCGTGCACTTTCGACTTTACAACTTTGAAGATCGTTTACCTGCACAAACAGCTATTTTACACACTGCATGAAAGGTAATATTTGAAAAAGCACAATAGTGGCACTTTAAGACGTAAGCCGACTTTCCACTGCACACGACAAACGACAGCCGTCGGACCGGAAGTCATTCATTTCCAATGGAGAGTCGTACGGGAGCGTCGAGGAGTTCCAATCATAGACGTATGTGGAAAATTCGCTTTTTCTGTACAATGTCGGTTATTATTAACTATGACAGAAAAAAAATATTTTATAATTATTAAATCAATATTTATATTGATTAGCTCTATAAAATCTACTGTGTTTTTATTTGAGATGTATTGAGGGTCATTTGTTTTGTGTAGGTTTGTTTTGTGAGGGTTATATTCATGCATGCTTTACATTCATTAAAATCATTAATTTTTGTGAATATCCGAGGGTAGCGGTTGCTTCACGACCAATTTCAAAGTTCTGTGCGACTGAAACTAGGGGGCGATATCCGACAATTGTATACGAATGTCGTGTGCAGTGGAAACAAGCGTGCCGTACAAGCCCTCAAAAGTGAAGCCAAAACGTCTCGATCGCCCCCCTGTGACCGGACCTAGTATAGCTCATAACCCCCGCCTCCCCATGTTATTCAATGGGACGCGAGACCAACTAAACAATTAAATTACACTTCACATATCCTTTTTCCAAAGATAGTTTCTGTCATTTACTGTAGTTTCTATCACATTGATGTAATTTCAAGTGTTCGTTTTTAAAATAAGTTTGTTTTTAGTTAGTTATGTGATGCTATAAAAACGGTGCTCTGACATCATGATTGACAGCTCTGATTGACAGGTTCACTGTGGAGGTAGTCACTGAAGCACCAGCGGACTTTTTTGTTGATTATGTGGTTAGTAGTTGTATTTACCTTATTTTAACGAGGTACCTTATTTGAACGAAGCAGACAGAGGCCACTTAATGAAAGTGCGGGGCGTGTGCTTGCGTTTGATTCAGCGAGAATGAGGGCGCGGCCTTGATTTCGCGGCTTTACTTCCTGCTCACGACTGCGCATGTATGGTCCCGAAACACGCAAGTGCGCAGACTCGAGTCCAAGATGTCAGCGTCATATCGAGACACTGGCGGCTTCAGTTCACTCTGATGGAAAAGAGCGAAGGGGCGTCGTCCATCTTTTTTTACAGTCTATGAGTGGAAAGGCGGCTTTAGTGTTAATGTAAACACTCCCTTTACCATGCTGTGGGTTTGCTTAATATCGTTTTTAACTTAAGTATGTATTACATCGTGAAAGTTTCACAAAACAATCTGTACTGAGGTTTTCTTCATTCTATCATGGTCTCAAAAAACATTTCCAACTGACAATGAATGGGCTATATGCACGCATAAGTTCCGCATTTGACGCAAGGCTGCTCTTCAGTTTCTGGTTGTGGAGATTTAAGCGGAGGAAAACCGAGGAAAACGGGATTATGGCAGAGTCTTCAAAATGCACTGTCCTCCCGTCTTTGAAACGAAACTTTAATACGTTTAGATGTAATTTTATATATAGTTATGCATAAACAAAACGAGGGATGTCTGTTTTTGTGACTAACGTTTCTTTAGTATAGCCATAGAGTATAAAAGCCAATATAAATTCTCGGTATAGCATTGGACTCTACATCGTTGCATCCTTAGAACTTCACCGAAAATACCGCCGTGCGTAGAGCCCATTGACTCCACAAAACTGCTGTGCCAAAATACAAAGGTCATTTTACTTCTTGTTTCACAGAGTGGGAAGTCTGAGGAGATCTTCAGTGCTCTGGTTACTCTGGGATATCCACAAATAGCCCAGAGCTCAGACCGTCAGGTGGAGTATCTCGTGGTCTCTGACTATGATGAGGAAACGGATTTTGATAGCAAAGCTCATCTTGAGTACCAAAAGGGGAAAAACGGTCCCGCAGAACCTGCACAAAACAGCATCCAGACCACATGCAACCGCAGTCAGGGGCTAAAAACTCACCCCGGGACTGTCTCCAAACAGCTAAGTTCCACCATCGGTGTCCTTGAAGATCTTCAACAACGACTTCACCTTTATTCCGATGGCTCGCCAGTAAAAGCTCAGGACCAAAACACTCAAATGATCTCTGATAGCGAATGTGAGCACGTCAGCATCACCCCTAGTAGATTTACAGGGTACGTTGAGGTTGACGAAGAGAAACAAGGCCGAAAGCCCATGGTAGGGGAGGACTACAGTATGGTCAGTGACGTTAACAGTGATAATATCCTTGTACTCCAAGAAAGCATCCCTGTACAGGGACACAAAGAAGTCAAATGTGACAAAACTTCTGGAGCTGAGGAAACTGGAGGTGTCATCGAACCTCTGGGATACATGGAAACCGTGACAACATTTTCAAGTGGACCTTGACTATTTTGTGACTTTAACTTTTGAGACTATTTTGTCTTGTAGTGTCCTGTTCAAACTATCAAGCACTTTGTTAGTAGAGATGTGAGAAGGGTTATTTCAGAAATCTGTGGTGAGTTTCCCATACAGTGATATAAATTGCTGCTTAACTGCCATATCAATGCAATCATTGGAGAAATTAACTAGCTAGTCATGATTGTTTCCCAAAACCACTATTTTGTCATTCGAACTACGTTGGCTCAACCATCTAGAATTGTGTGGAGTAATAACTTCTGCTAATTACTCGGTTCATGATTGAATTAATGTCAGATTCTTGCTCTAAATAGTGAACATGGCATCTGAGGACTAAATCAGTATTTGAGTTTGCTATTATTTTGCTTTATTTCCTAATGTCTGATTCAATCATGGGATGCTAGAGCACATTCACTCATGCTCACATCAAAAACTGTGCTTTCATTCTCTTTCCAAACTAAAGTTTGTATACAATCACCAGCAACTTTATTAGGTACACCTTGCTAGTACTGAGTTGGACGCCCATTTGCCTTCAGAACTGCCTTAATTCTTTGTGGTTTAGATTCAACAAGGTGCTGGAAACATTCCTTAGAGATTTTGGTCCTTGACTTGATAGCATCACGCAGTTGCTGAAGATTTGTCATGATGTGAATCACCCATTCCTCCACATCCCAAAGGTGCTCTATTGGACTGATAGCTGGTGACTGTGGAGTCAATTTCAGTATAGTGAACCCATTTGAGATGATTTGAGCTTTGTGAAACCGTGCGTTATCCTGCTGAAAGTAGCCATTATATGTTGGGTACGCTGCAGTCACTGTTGCCTTTCCAACATTTTGACGTTTGACAAGGCATTTTTGCCCACAGAACTGCTGCTCACTGGATATGTTTCAGACCATCCTGTGTAGATATACAGACACACAACCCGTAAAAGACCCAGTAGATCAGCAGTAAAATACTCAGACCAGCCCATCTGGCACCAACAACTATGCCAAGTTCAATCACTTAATGTCAGCAGATCGTCTTGACCATGCCGTAATGCATTGAGTCGCTGCCAAGATATGATATTTGCCTTATTGAACAACTGAACAGGTGTACCTAATTAAGTGGCCGGCGAGTGTACACAGTATATGGAATGAAAGATATATATTGTACCACATTACCTTGCTTATTTCCCTTGAGAGCATGATCTAAGTCCATGTCATTTATAACTACAGGTTAAGAGCCGTACTTTCTACCATACAACTTTTTTTGTGAATACTTGTTGGAACTATGGTTTTGGGAAACACCAAATCATTGAACTAAGTTGGTAACGACAAAACTTGCAACCATAGTTTGCTAGCAATACTGTTGAATGCACCTCTTGTTGTAGCTGTAGTTGTGCAGGTTGACAGATACAACACAGCAATGGGTCGAAAAGGAGATTAAAAGACAGCATCATTCTTAAAGGAGTAGTTCACTTTAAAAAAATAAAACTTTTGCTGTTAATTTACTCACCCCCATGTCATCTAAGATGTCCATGTCTTTCTTTCTTCAGTCGAAAAGAAATTAGGATTTTTCTCCATATTCAATGGACCCCGACCTTTTCAAGGTCCAAATGACAGTTTCAGTGCAGATTCAAGGGGCTTTAAACAACACCAGACGATGAATAAGGGACTTATCTAGCGAAACGAGCGGTCATTTAAAAAATAAATAAAAACGTTAAAGTTTTATAAGCACAAATGTTCACCTTGCTCTGTTCTGTGATGAGCGTTCGTGACACTCCTGTTAGAACTCGTTCATCAAAATGAACAAATCTTTTTTGAGTCATTTGGTCAAAAGGCGAGAATTTGTGCTTATAAAACTTAAACTTTTTAAATTATTTTTTAAATGACCGATCGTTTCGCTAGATAAGACCCTTGTTCATCGTCTGGTGTCGTTTAAAGCCCTTTGAAGCTGCACTGAAACGGTCTTTTGAACCTTGAAACGGTTGGGGTCCATTGAAGTCCATTATATGGAGAAAAATCGTGGAACGTTTTCATCAAAACATCAATTTTCGACTGAAGAAAGAAAGACATGGACATCTTGGATGACATGGGGTGAGTAAATTATCAGCAAAAGTTGTTTTAAAAGTGAACTACTCCTTTAACCTTTACAAATCGACCAACAGCTGTTAAAAAATACCCCACTAAAGATAATTATATTAATTGTTAAACCTCTCGAAATGTTTCAATCTACTACCTCATAGCAGACATTCAAAACACCACACTGGAGTTTCACCACTCTCTCTAAAGACCTGGCACTTTTCTTAATGCTTTTGCTGCTCCTGATCTTTTTAAAGATGATTGTTGTTAAGCGTTTTTTATAGTTAATATGCAGACATGAGCCTTTTGTATATTTATTCACAATGATACTATGAATATAAAAAGTGTGAGATTTCTTTGGTCAAAACAGCTAATGATTTTACGGTGTATTTATTGAACTAGATCTACTATTTGTGTCGCTCACAATCCATTTTATTTATACTTAATTTAATAATGATTAAACACTGATTCAATGTTAAAATTTTGCCTAAGCAAACTGTGAACGCATCCTTCTGATATACAACTATATGAACTTGGAAACTCACAAAGACAATAACAAGAATTAAGACTAATGTCAAATAATAGATTAGGTCTGTGTAAAGTGCTGGCACGAAAGCTTAACTGCTGTCAAAGCTTAACCAAACACAAGGGCAGTGAGCCCAGTTTGGTCTGGCAGGTCTTTGATGTTTAAAAAAAATAATAATTACATGGACCGCCTCAGAGGAGCCAGTTACGGCGGCAGACATAGTCGGGTCAGCTGGTCTCATCATGGAACATTTATGGTCTGCAGTGCAGCAGTAAAGAATGGCTTAAAGTCAAACATTGACCTACCACTATGCAAGGACAAACATTCGGTTCAGCATGAAAGAAAATGATAGTACTGTTGTGCAGCTTTTTTTTTAGCTTAAATTACAATGCAAGGCATTTTATTATTATTATTTTTTTAATTTTTGTGGTATACTGCATTCATTTTGTTTGTGATGTGACAGTGTGAGGTCAAGACGTTTGATGAAAATGATGTGGAAAATTATTGTTAGCAGCACAGAGGTGCGTTGTTGTTTCTAGCATGAGCTCCTCACATTCTTTCACTGACAATAGCATGCGTAATGCAGTTTTCTATCCACTGCTGGACAAAGTCCATAGACACTTGCTAAAAGGTTAGGAATTGTTTTATGTTGTACCATTTCAAAAAACACAAGTTTTGCATTTCATGTCTTAGCTAAAATAAAAAAGCTATGATCAAAAAGTTGAACGTTTTCTTGTTTTCTTGAGTCGAAGAACTGATTCGGCCAAGAATTTGTGGTTTATTCCAGTTAACATTCTATTCACATTCTCAATAGCCCATAAACATACATTTGTAGACCCAAGTCAGATGTTGTGGTTTGTTAGGGATAGCTCATGTGATGGTGTTTTATTTGATAATTCTCTCACAATTCACTCACCCTAATGTCGTTCCAAACCTATAAGACTGTCATTCCTCTTCAAAACATTTTTTTCTATTTTCATTAAATCCTGAGGGAAAGTCCAGACGAGCAAAACTTTTACACTACAAAAAGTTCATTAAGACGTAAAACATATGAATCAAGTGGATTACTGTTTTTATGTGCTTTCATATGGGTGTTAATGTTTACATGTGAATGAAAATCATGTTCATCATGCAAAACTGATACTGTCTATTCAGAAGACAATGACTGATTTAAGTTTTAGGTTAACTGACAGACAAAACTCTCTCTATTTTTTAACATTATACCTACATAGGCTATACATTTCAGACATCTTTGAAATTTATATTGGTATTCCAAAGACAAGGCATTTCAGACACAAGATCATTTATTGCAATGAATTTATTGCAAATACTGGAGAAAACTCTATAACCTTCACAATCACAATGTTTTGGTCCCAAGGTCAACATTCTCAAAACTACACAGAAGCAGGGCAAAAGGTTAATACGTGAAAAATAGTGTTACTACTAAGTGAAGTTGTGAATCGTTAGCTCTATGCTACATGAATATACCATAAACACGACTGCACAACACACACATTCCCTATTAACTGCAGCCGATAGCATAAAGACATAGAGCTAAACTCACATTAAGGAGAACCACCTCAAGAACTCAGTATTAATGGATTAGCTAGTGTTGAGGAACAGCCAGAGGAAGGTTAATAAATTTTAAGTGGAGGCTATGGTTTAGGTAAGAGATGTTTAATAAGTTCTAGGACTAGAAGGGAGAGGTGTTCCTACAAACAGTTCACGGTCGTAACAATCATTCGCTTATGAGTCTTCAGAATTAAACGGCAACCTGCCAATAATGACGATACGTGGGCTGCAAACACAGTGGTCATGATCAGTAAAATTGTGCATTCAACATAAGCAAAATACATTTGATTTACCAATGTAAACATATACATAAATTGGTTTAGTGGTTTAGATCATTCCTATGATTTTATCAAACTATTACACTCATTTGATTAGAAATAGAGGGATATTGGCTATTTGCAAAAATATTCACCATTCACACTATGGAAACATCAAACTAAGTAGGATTTCTATAAGAAAATATGTAGTCAAGGGCTGTTCGCTATTATCAGCTGTATTCCCTCTTGATTTAATACACCATTCCAGGTCACAGGAAAATATGTTTACATTTTTTTTAATAAAATCCTCTAAACAGGCACATTTGGTATTTCAAGCTATTCCCGACACATCTCACAACAAGGTGCTAGAGGCTCACATGGGGTTGGAAACACTGTAGTGGATCCGTTTCCGTGTCACAGAAGCATGATCGACACTGCAAAAAAACAAACACATTTTTTTTTTTTTTTTGCCTCATTCGTCTATGAACTTCCATCAACTTCCTACATCATCATCCAGCAGCTGCTCTGAACCAATGGAAACGGATGAAAACTGCTCCTCGAAATTCAGGAAAGGGTGGTTGTAATTTTTCTCAAGCATTTTCCTCCAGATTTTAACTGTGAAAAGAACAGATTGAAACCATCAAAATGCATTGAGCAAATACATTATTACGTGTTCAGATCAAATGATTAGCACTTGAATGATGCTTTCAAAAAGTCCTTCCATAAAAACTCAAGCGGACCAATAGTGAACCTACGTTCTGACGTAGCACTGCGCTGTTACACTACGTGAACTCACGTCAGAGGCTCACATAGAAGATGAATAGTTGAATAAAGTTGTTCTTTTTGTTTGTTTTTGCACACAAAAGTATTCTAGTCTCTTGTTAAACTTAAGGTAGAGCCACTGTAGTCACTTGGACTATTTTAACAATGTTTTATTTACTTTCTAAGCCCACAAGTTTCAAGTAAAATAGAAGCCTATGGAGGAGTGAGACGGCTCTCAGATTTAATCAAAAATATCTTAATTTGTGTTCTGAAGATGAATGAAAGTCTTCTGGGGTTGGAACAACATGAGGGTGAGTAATTACTGACAGAACTTTTGGGTTAACAAATGTGTCAATTCCAGAGAATTCACATTTTCAGTTCTCATTTTTGAGAACTTTGAGCACACATTGTGTAAAATAATCTAATTTCATCAATTTTGTGTAGATCTTACACAATATGTGTACACATATCATCAATCACCGATTCAGTTTCACAAAAAACTCTTGGGGGCTATTCATGGCTGGCATACCTATAAACAAAGCAAATAAGTTACACATTTAAGAGTTACGAGTAGTTTAACAGAGTAGTTAACTAAGAGAATAATGAAACCGTATTGCACGTAAAAGCAATGAATTCACACTATTTTTAGGTTTTAATTAGGACGTACTGTACTCTGGCTCCTCTGTTCCAGAAGGTTCTCCCGACGGCTCCACCTCCTGTAGCTCCTCCTGCTGTTCCTGCGGTTCTGTCTCCGGATTTGCAATCATCACCTCATAGGCTTTCCTGGCCTCGGCCGATAACTCAATCATTTTGTGATAAAGGTCCTGTGGCCATGAAATAATTACATGTACGGGAATCAGCTAAGTTCACTCAATTAAAACAATCAGTTAAGTCGAATGACTTATTTTAAATGAACAGCAATGCCACTCAAGATTCTTAACAAGAATCAACAATATTTACCACAACTACAACCAGAAACCTCTAGTACTCACCTGTGCGCCATCGTAGTTAAAGATCCCCACCAAGCTGACAGGGACGGCTTTATTAACACAGCGGCCCAGCGCCTTTCTCGACAAGGCAAACACAAACGGGACATCTTGATCCCGGCATGTGTCAATGATAGTGTGAAGAGCCTCATCTAGACCTCCTACATTAAAACAACAGGCCATCAATCAGCAACAACATACAAGCAGCAATGTTGAAATGTGAGTTTGTGCTAAGTTCTAGGGCTGGGCAACGATTAATCGCATCCAAAATAAAAGTTTGTGTTTACATAATATATGTGCGTGTAGTAGTGAGTTTAATTATTTTGTATATATATATAAATACACACACATGCATGTATATAATTTATATATATTTATGCAAAATTTATATTATACATAAATATAAATAACACATTTTTCTTAAATATATACATGCCTATGTGTGTATTTATATATACAAAATAATTATACACACTACACACACACATATATTATGTAAACACACACTTTTATTTTGGATGCGATTAATCGCGATTAATCGTTTCACAGCCCTACTAAGTTCGCGCTACCTTTGGACTGTATACGTTCACAGTTTGGCGAGATGATAACGCACTTGACCTTCCTGAGTTTGAGGTGTTTCAGCACCTCTCGTAGGCCCATGACCAGCCTGCGCTTCATCCTGGCCTTCATGGGGTCTTTCTGATAAAGACGATCCTGAAACCTCACCAGCTCCTTCAGTAAGCCGCTCACACATTCATCTACATCTTTTTTAAGCACTTGGTTGCAGTAGCTGTAGAAATAGAGAAAAACTTGGTTAACTATAAATGAATAAGAATAATTATTATTATTAATACATTTATTTTCTTCCATCACTTGAAAAGATGTGAATTTCAGGACCGAGGAATTCATTTCATCATATCTACAAGTCTTTTTGGGAACATATCTTGCACATTTTTGAGAAACAAAACTGTAACCTACAGTAGGGGTGGGCGACATACAGGTAGAAATGATTAACGGATAGAAATTTGTCAACCGATAGGGCTATTGAAGCTATTGATATTGAAACACTTGTGACGTTTCTGTACTGAATGCGTGTCACAAAAGCTTAACGTTTGAATGCGATTTTAAACTGAGAGCAAGTGAAGCGGCTGTGTGTACTAAACTGAGTTATTTTTGACGCTTTATTGGCCTTGCATGGTTAAACACTCTCAGAAAATGCCTGTCTTCACAAGTATCCTAGTACAGTCATTTATGCTTTAGGTGAACGTAAACAGTTGCGAAAGGAAACGCATGTGTAACTGCATAATGGATACGGGCAGCTCTTAAAAGTGACAGCCCAATATTCCTGCTGTCTGTCATTCATGTTAATCAAACAACAAAAGAGAAAAATCAATCACTGCTCTTGACAAAAACACTTTTTGCAATTTTAATAAGAACAATTTACACATTGAAGACCACGCAGTGTTTTCTTTATACATTTGACAACTTTATACAATTTATGTAGCATTTCTTATTTAGCACTTGCATTTTTTCAGGTAGGGCTATTTTAGTTGTGTCATTTTTCTTTTATATATATATATATATATATATATATATATATATATATATATAAAGTCCTATTGTTTGTAATTAATTAATTTGTTATTATTTTAATGTTTACATGTCTTCAGTTAGCTTGAGTTTTTATTAGTTTGTGATATTGACATTGGTGAAAATAATTCTGAAATTATGTCTATGATATCTTAAATTTGTAGATTACAAAAACCTCATTTAAAGGGTTAGTTCACCCAAAAATGAAAATTCTGTCAGTATTTACTCACTCGCATGTTGTTCCAACCCTGTAAGACCGTTCATCTTCAGAACACAAATTAATATATTTTTGATGAAATCTGAGAGCTGGATCACTCCTGCATATTAGTCCATTGGCTTCTTGAGGGATTGAAACTTGCTGGCCTCGAAAAGTTATTAGACATCGTTAAAATAGTCCAAGTGACTTCAGTGGCTCAATCTTAACTTTATCAAGCGACTATTTTAACGATGTCTTTAATAACTTTTCGAGGCCGGCAAGTTTCAATCCCTCAAGAAGCCTACGGACTAGTATGGAGGAGTGATCCAGCTCTCAGATTTCATTAAAAATATCTTAATTTGTGTTCCGAAGATGAACGAAGGTCTTACGGGGTTGGAACAACATGAGGGTCTGTAAATGCTGACAGAACTTTCATTTTTGGGTGAACTAACCCTTTAAAGCCACACCAGGCAAGAATGCTGTTTTTGTCAAACAGCGACCCCTAGAGTAACTGTGGAGTACTTGTTTTTAACGTTACTGTCGTAAATACCACTCACGGAGGGCATGACGTGTTACATAGTATACAATAGTACATTGTGTTTAATTTGTCGTTTAATGTGATCTAATATATGTTGTTAGTGGTGAGAATTTTCACGTGATTAAATACATATCCCCATGAACTTTAATGGTCCAGAGGAAGATCTTTTGCCATGTGTGTCACAGGTTCTAATAGTATAGTTTATTTTCCTCATCAACACCGATTGTTTATTAGTGGCTGTGTTTCAAGCAGGGACATGTTTTTTGTGCATTGGGTTTTGTGATTTCACCGTAACGAGTCTCTCAGTCCCCGCAACGGATTGAGCAATGAGCGCGCGTCCGTTTGAATATCACAACAGAACATTGAATCCACTGAAACTGATCGCAGCGGCAACGAGCACTTTGGTCACTTGATTTCAAAAACAAGAGACGCCCCCATTCAACCCGAAAGAAGTCATATAACCATTTCAATAACTCTGAAGCTGTTAAATTAAGCTAAAATAACTGCATAGTGTCCCTTTAAAGCAAAAATGACTCATCATGATATGTATCGTTAAAGTGCAATAAAAAGACTTGTATTGTGATTATAAGATTTTGCTTATATCGCTCACCCCTACTAGAACCAAAAGACAACATATATTTTCTTACTCTCTGAACTTCCTGCTGTGGATTTTGGGAAGATTAGGATTGGAATTGGGATTCCAGGATTTTAGTGCTGCATTTTCTGACACACTGTCATCCAACTTGTGATTAGATGGCCAACCAGGCTGGTCACACTCTGACTCCTCAGTACCACCGAGTCCAGGGTTCTCATCTATATCTGATACAGATTGTGAACATACTTCCATACTTGTGAGAAGATGCTGATCATTGTCAGGCAGGCTTGTTTCAGAAGGATTCTCACTATTACTATTTTCCTTTTCAACAGCTTCAGTGGATACTCGAGCCAGGTCTCTCTCCTCCAGCAGGCGGTTCTGTTTTCTCTCCTCTCTCTCCCGAAGAATGACCTCAATTGTTCAAAATGCAAAACATCTTTTAGAATGCTTATCAAATACAGAGAGATTCAACAGAATTTATTTATTTTTAAGGTGTGTGATTTCTGCACTAATAGCAGCACCAAATTTAATGATAACTCTGTTTGACAACACAGAAATGACACACTGCACCATCAAATGGACAATCGACTCACTCTTTTGAGAGGTGTTGGTTTTTTCGCCTTGGGAACTTCTCGCTGTTTTCCCTTCTTCACTAAGGGACAAGTGGAGTCCAGCGGGTTGTGCGGTGTTTTCTCTTGCTGCCATTGTTTTTTTTGAACTGAAGTTTCTTTGTGGACTACAGGTAGAGCTCCTCCAACTAATACATCAACAATAGTATTTGTTATATGCAACATGGTGACTAACTCCTATGAAGTCTTTAAAGGGTTTGTTCGCCCAAGAATGAAAATTTTGCCAACATTTAATCACCCTCAAGTTGTTCCAAACATGTTTGACTTTTGTAAATCTTCAAAACACAATTGAAGATATTTTTGAATTAAATCAGAGATTTCTATCCCTCCAATGAAAGTCTAGTCACCCAGAACTCTTGACGTTTCAAAATATTGATAAAGAGAAAGGAAAAGTAATCCATATGAGTTGAGCGGTTTAATTTGAGTCTTCTGAAGAGACATAATCAATTTATATAAAAATTATTTTACTTAGGCTTTTTTCACTTGATTTCCATTACACGCGAGTAGATGTTAAAACTTCATGCTGATTTGTACTCAGCTTTCGCCAAGATAAGCACAAACTAAGACGTAGCTTTACAGTGACCAACGCTTCTCCATCCATTTACGCTTCCTTCCATATGATCAGAAAATGTACATAATGCAGAGTGCTCAAAAATGGAAGCTCAAACGTGCTCGCTTGACGCACGAGAACAAATGAGGTTCATTCTCGCATCACACCAGCACATATGAGCTCTTGCCAGAACCAATGAGGGTTGCTTTTGCACATAAAGCAAGTGCGGTTGAGCTTCTGTTTGCTTGCTGATCGATGGCTTCATCTGAAATCGCATACTTCCCTACTACATAGTAGGCGAAAAACAGTATGTGACAAAAGAAGTATGTCCGAATTGACAGAACTCATAAAAGATTAGGTAAAAGGTACCCGGATGACCTACTACTTCTGGCGAGATACTGAAGTGTGCATCCAATGGACAGTTTACTATCCCATGAGGCCACGGGAGAGGATTCGTAAATGGCAGTGAAGCGGTTTAACTGGCACTGGAAAGTCAAATGATAATGACAACATGGCGAATGTAGTCCGTCCGTATTACATTCATACTAGAGCCAGACCGATATTATCGGCCGATATTAGGCATTTTCCATAATATCGGTATCGGCAGTTATAATGGCCGATAAATTAATATTTAAAAAATAAAAACGGACGAAACACGCTTTAATCATCTCTCCTTGGCCTGTTATATTGAAAATGTATGTTTTACAATTTGCAGTGGAATCATCAGTGGAAGACCGCTAACGTTAACATTAATGAGCTTGGAAACCACAATGAACTTTTTCTGCCTAAATAAAGTAATGCTTACTGTATTTATAACTAGCATATCTCTAGTTACAGTCCCTGCATTGTAAAAATGTAAGTTATACTTGCGAGGAGTGAACATTTAGACATAGAGAAAAAGTATCAAACGTATCTTGTGCAGAAAAGTTAGCTTTTCTGTTACACATGTGTGAAATCCAACAAAATTTAACAATAAAAAAAAAATATCGGCTGATATATCCGAATATCGGATTTTAATACCCAAAAATATTTGTATCGGTATCGGCCTTCAAAATCCTTAATCGGTCGGGCTCTAATACTATATAGAACATACTATTTTTAGCAGTCATGAAGTAATTACGTATTCAAAATAAGTACCTACTTAAGAGAGTATGAGGTTTTGAACGCAGCCAATGTTTATAATGTGAATAAAAGCCTATAATTAAATCTATTCACCTTCAGAAGAGTTGGATTAAACCACTCTATTCATATGAATTCATTTTACATTCTCTTTATGAACCGTCTGTGTAGTGGGTGAATAGACTTTCAATGGAGGGACAGAAATCTCAATAATATATCTCAGAAATATCTTGATTTGTGTCTTATCGATTTGTGTCCTGGGTTTGCAACAATGAGCAAATGATGACAGAATTAAAATTTTAAAAAATTTCTAAAAATTCTAAAAAATTTAACAAATTTTTAACATTACACCAACCAAAAAAAGCAAAAAAAAAGTGTCTCCACTTAAATTTCTTACCTGAAAGTGTTACTGGACGCTGATCTTGTTTGGATTTTTGAGACTGTTGCTTCTTCTCAAGAAATGCCAGCATGTTTCCAAGGTCAAGCTGTACAGGAACCTTTGACTTTTTCTGACTAGTCTGATGAGATAAGAATCGATTACAATATGCGACAGTCTCATTTTTCAGAAAAATAATTTAGTGATTAATTTTACATTGCATGGTATTGTCAAGTTCAATCAGATTTAACTGCACACCCTTATACATGATGGCCAGAGTGTTTTGTTTTGCAATTGCACTGGAAACAGACACCAACCTGTGTTTTCTTAGCGTCACCGGAGGCATAAGCGGGTGTAGCGGCTTTGTGTTTTATCCCTGGATGTAGAGACAATCGCTCTTTTTGTGCTTCTGAATGTCCTTTGAGTTCCTGAATCAATGTAATTACAGATGATACAATAAAGCATGTGCATATCAAACATTTTATTTGAACTGCCGTCATCACAATGTGCTCAGGCCAAAAGAGTAAACTCACAAATGCAAGCGACAGGTCTGGAAACTCCTCTTCATCCTACAAAAACAACACTTAGATAAATCACCATTATGCTTCTAATGTAGGTTAACAATCAAACATAAGAAAATGAAGGGCGAAAAAAAAGGAATATTTCAACAATTAAAAAGAAATATTATCAATGGGCAAAACGGTAGGGAAGAAAAGCTTCTAAAACCAAAGTATACCAGTTATTTTAGTATTATTTATTTTCCATCACAGAACTTTTTATTTTTAATTTTAGTTTGAGTTTGTGCATTTTTGTTCATTTCTTATATATCTACATCTTTAATAAATTACATTTTGGTTTTAGTAATTTTAGTACATCATCTTGAACTAATTTCAGTTCGTAGCCAAGACAAGGTATCTTTTTACAGTTTTTTTTTTAATGTTAATATTTTATTTCAGCTTTTTTTTAAGTTTTAAAAATTATTTAATAGTTTGAGTAAACAATAATGACACTGATTTAAACATCATTCACCAATTAGTAACAACTGAAACATAAAAATTCTAAAATTTAATTTCAGAAAATATATGATCTGACAAACAGTTGTTACCTCAAACTTCGGTGGCTCCTGCTGTATCAGATGTTCCTCTAGTGTCTCTTCTGTGTTCTCTGACACGGTTTTGGATTTCTTCTTTTTCTTCCTCTTCTTCTTCTCTGTTTTCTGCTCTACTTGCTGTATGGATAAATCCTCCTAGACACAGAAAATGTGTTCAAATTATGTCTATTTTGTACATGCTCAAAATGCTGGTACACAGTGAAGTAGTTTACCTGGGAAGATGTGTTGGCTTTGGGGATTTTCTGGATGACTCTGGGAGGCTGAGAGGCAATGTTTGCCCATGAGTGAGCAGAAGATCCAGTGGAATTGGATACTGCACTATCCTGATCTAACCAGATTGAATTAAAAAAAAATTATCCATTTAATTCCTTTAATATTGAATTTAAAAATCTAATTTAAAAAAGATTCACAACCCATTTCCGAAATATATTTCCCAGTGAGATGAAACTGAATATTCAATTTATTTATTTTCCTTGAAATAACATGAACTGACGAATTATGCAAAAAAAAAAAAAAAACCCCAAAAGACGACGTGTATTATTAAAGTTGGCATGGATCAGAAGTTGCAATGGTGTTTTCTTCTCTATGTTACATATATGTTTGGGTGAAATGGCTTCTCGAACAAGAAAAAAATTTAGGTTGGGAATTCATTTTGTCAATCTGGAATTCATTGGGTCATAAGATTGTTGTGGTTTGCGATTGCCGTGATGTCACTCACATGACACCAAAGATTACAAGGGTACATAACTTAAAAAATACAATGATGTGCACAGATAAATAATGTATAATTTATTAGAAAAAAGGTATAATTGATTTCATGGTGAATTTAGGAAAATAAATAGGGTCCATTTGGATTTCTGAAGCATGTTTGCGTATCTTTTACCTGCTTTGACAGCAACTGACATGTCACACTTTCCACTGGGCGGGACTTGCTGTGCAGACTTGGTTCTTCGTTTCGGTACATTCTAACAAACAACATTGTCAAGCTTAAGTGAGACCGTGAAGTTGTTAGAACAGGTTGTGCTTTAACAGAACAATGTGTTCTTGGCTAAAACCATCATCCATGAAAGTTACCTTACAAATTAGTGCTGGTGAACTCTGACGCTCTGCTGGCATGACTGCACTAGAACATACTGTTGGTTCCTGGTGCAGGGAAGCTGCTGTATGGTTGCTTGGTGTGATATCACCCAATTCCGGGAAATCGGCAAGTTTCATTTCAAATGTGCTACTACATGTAATAGCTGCTTTGGCTCTCTCAGCTGGGTTTGGGGAAGGTTTGGTCCCTCTGTAATCTGGAAAACAGAATCAAATTTATTGCGATTTAATCAGGAAATTATCATCAAAAGTCTTCTTGAAAAGAATTAGCACCTCTTTCTGTTGATCTCCGGCTAAGTCGTTTGTCCTGAGAGAAAGGCTCAGCTCTGTTGTCCTTTGACATCTGAAAGATGAAAAACTTCATTAGGCTTTTAAATGCGCAACAGTATGAAGACGCAAATCATCCAAATGACCTAGAATCAGACCTTTCCAGTTTGTTGGTTTGAGCCTTTTTTTAAACCACTGCGGGTTTTGAAATCAGCGCTCTTGTTGGTGTGAAAGCTGCTGTTGTAGCCGTGCATACTCTGTGCCGCGTCATAATCATTGTCTACTGATCTCTGCCTTTTCTTGAACCAGTCCTCAGGTGATGACTGGCATGTGGTGTTTTTAGATGGAGTTCTGTGTGTAATAAAAAAAAAAAATCATTCTATTTTCATATGTATCATACTATTATTATTCACTGCAATGTGATGTGCAGTGGCCCCAAAATACAGTTGGACAATTCAATCAAATGATATACAGTTTAAAATGAAGACGAAATATTGTAAATGGTAAATGGACTGCATTTATATAGCGCTTTCATAGACCTTATGGCCACCAAAGTGCTTTACATTTGCCTCACATTCACATTAGGTGTCTTGCTCATCACACACCTTGACACTTGATCGGGTGTGTTAAAAGTGGGACATAAGGTTGTAAAACTAATCCATATGAATTGAATGGTTTCAAGTCATCAAATTTGTCTGAAGAGACACAATCGCTTTATATGATGAAGAGCCTGAATTTAGTCTTTTATTCTCATGCACATTCGTTAACTCACATCAGTTGTGGTAAACATAAGCTCAAGCATGTTCACTTGATGTGCAAAAACCAATGAGGCTCATGAGGTTTGTTCTTGTGAGTCAAGTGAGCTTCTGTTTATGCTTGCTGATCAATTTTTATATGTGAATAAAAGACTAAATTCAATCTGTTCACCATATAAAGCGATCAAGTCTCTTTAGACAATCTGGATCAAATCCAATTCATATGGATTAGTTAGATTTCCTTATGAACTTTTTGAAGCGTCAAAGTGGTAGTTGCGTAGAAGTCAATGGAAGGACAGAAAACTTTCAGATTTCATTTAAAAGATCTTCATTTGTGTTCTAAAGATGAACAAAAGTCTTAAGGGTTTGGATTCGGAATTTCATGAGAGCGAGTAAATGACAGAATTTTCCTTTCTGGGCAAACTATCCCTTTAAGATATTTGTAATGAAACCTGAGAGGTTTCTGTCCATTCATTGAAAGTACAGGATCTAAAATGGTCATAAAGACGTTTTAAAATTTATCAGGCACTTTAATTCGAGTCTTGTGGAAAGATAAGATCGCTTTAAATGATGAACAAAACAACAAGACAAAAAAATCTAATAAAAAAAAAAAACACTTGATTACAGTTTTTCTCAGTCGCTTTGGTGCATTTCTCACATCACTATTTACATTTGCACAACAGTTAGTTCAACCTCCACAACATTTATTCATTTGTGCACATCATAGTAGCAGTTTCTCATTCCTTCCAACAAATTGCAAATGCTTTTGGACATGCATCAATTGCTTTCATACAACTCATTGCTGTTTTATAACATTATCATTTGCTTATGTCATATCAGTCCAAATTAACTATACTTGTGAATGCTGAATAGTCATTCCATATAAAAACTAATAGTCCACGTTTCATTGCTTGAGTCATCACATACAAAAAATGTTAAACCAATTGTCAAAATCTGTCAAGCCAATTTTTTTTTTATATCTTTTTAAAAAAAAACTTTATCCTAAATTGAACAATTTCTCGCAGGTGAACCTCAGCTTTCACTGATGAGAAGGGATGTGCATGAATGATTTACAGTATATGTATGTTGTATAATCAGTTCCAATATGTACTGTGATATTGTTTACAGTTGTGCACCGATCTACCCAAAGGGAGTTTATGTTTGTTGTAAATAAGGGTGTATATTTTCTTTTGCACAACGCTCTGAACAAATTAGAATTGCAAAGACCATGCAGTAAAAATGTGAACATATTCAGTGTCTTGTACTCAATTACTGTACCTCACTACATAAATACAGTAATGTGAAACTTTACTGTAGTTTTCAAATGGCTGTGCAAATAGTTTATAGGACTGTCTTGAGCATTTTCAGGTAGTGTCACCAAGATCTGACTTTTTTTGTATTGGCAAACACTTACAGAGTAAACTGTCATAATGAAAACATGACAAAGCCATTTGACTATCTTGTTCATAAACACTGGTGTTAGGACTTTTCATCTTGACGACACTGACACTTTCAATGACATGAATACTTGCTTTTGAGGAATGAGTTATCCATTTTGAGCAAGTGACACACTTTTGCAGGTTATAAACTAAGTTTTGCAGTTTGTACTAATTGTTTTGAGAACTGCACTAACTGTTGTGCAAATGTAAATAGTGATGTGAGAAATGCACCAAAGCGACGGAGAAAAACTGTAATATGGATATGATGACGCCTTTTTGGATCTTCTAAGTTTGGCTAGCTAGACTAATGATAAAGCACTCCTGTTGTTACTTTGATAAACACCTGTGAGGCCTTTCATAGTGGCACAGGAAGCCATCATGGCCACAAATTAAGAATTGACTGCCACAAACTCATGTTTTAGGTAAATCTGGGTCATGCTGTACGAATTCATTCCCGAGTTTTAATTTAGTTAAATTGTGGCTAGTATTTCCCCAAAGCACTTATTTGATAGTTTATATTATGCAATGCCATTTCAATTAAATATCAATGACATTTTTGGTATCTCAGTCTTTTGGGGGCACTGAATGTGCTTATTTGGAAAAACTATATTATGTTGATGAATCATCTGTTTTGACTGGAAAATAAAGACAGGTGCCACATATAATCACTTATATTTACCTTTTTAAATGATCCTCCATTTTGTTTTGCTGTGGAAGGCTATGAATCAAACAACTTCAGAGGTTCAAAAACTCCAGCCTTCATTATCTGTGAGCATAAAGACAGGTTCAAAGAACAGACAGATGATAAGACAACACGCACGAGCTGAAACATGTAACGTTAGTGCACAAATCTAGGTTTAAACAAACGATGCTGAATCCATGTGTACGTTAAATGACAAATGACGCAGCAACCCAAAGTTAAAGACTGCACCACCCAGTAAACAGTGTTATGTCATAATCCACTCAAAGGCACATTCGGTTAAAAATACGGTTTAATATCTGCTACAAACTGACGTTTAACAGTTCATCGGTAAAGGTATATTTTAGCAGGGCTGTTGTCGTAATGGAGATGTAACGTTACTGGATCGGTTAGCAGTCAGCTGTACTGAAGTGAACATCATGCAAACTTTGATTCAAACTTAAAGCTGCCTTAACATGTCAACTAACATGTAGAAGGTCAGTGTGACGCATGTTTAGCTGTCGACAGCTCTTCTGTTTCGGGTTTACCAGCATTGGATTTCTAGATAGCTCGTTTAGGCGAGCTAATGTCAAGACAGTCATTCTGATAAACTAACGTTTATGGAAAACCAACAAATATTAAAAGCTTTCATACCTTCCGGCCTTTAACCAACTCCATTTTAAAAAGACGTAGACCGTTCAACTCAGATGGAAAACTGGTAGGCCAAATAATTAAAGATTAAGCTCAAAGTTAACAACAAGCTCAGGCGGTGCGGGAACTTTTATTTTGAAGGGCGGTCTGATATACATTACTCAACACACTTGGTGGTTGCAATGTGTAATATTCAGCAGATAAATTAGTTGATAACCCGTTTAACAATATATACGAAAAAAAAAGTTCTTTATGTAGCAAAAACTATTTTGTTCTACGAGTTTTATCCAACAATAACCATTTTCTCAACATTCAACATTAAAACAAACTTCAATGCTATAACGTTATACAAATGAATAAAAAATAAGATCAATTTAAAATAATGTAATAGACAATCATCTTTATTGTTTTATGAATGTATTACATTCAGAAATACACATTTTTTATATAAACACCTGTGTGTGAAATATTTATAAAATTGTCAGGCTTATAAATGCACTTGTTGTTGGGTTGTAAAAAAAAAAACGTTACATTGATGATTTTTTTTTTTTTTTTACTATTTACAGTCTGTTATTTTTTTACAAAATAAAAGTAAACATTTTCATAATCGTTACAAGTATTGTATGTTTCTTTCTTTGTATTGTAAACAAACACTAAGAGGAACAACCTTTAGTGGTCTTTAAGGCTTTCAACAAGGAAAAAGAGGTCTGAGGTCTGACCCCCCTGAAGACACAATAGTGAATCCTAAAATTCTTGATCTCACGCCTCCTTCTGTCTCTTCAGCTGGTTCAGTAAAATCAGAGGGACTATAAAGAACACTGAAATGGCTATAAAACATAATTCTGCTCCAGCCAACCAGTACACTGAAAAATAAAAATAATAAGAATGTTATGATTTGCTGAGAACTGCAAAAAAAAAAAAAAAAAAAAAACCAAAGGAACAGACTGATTCCATACAGTAATTGAAAGGGACATTTAATTTCAATTCTAAGTTATAGTTAGGGTTGTTCACGTAATCAATCATGAAAAAAGACATTATATCTTTTTTGTTGTTGTTGTTTACCTGTAGAAGTCACAATAGGGCCTAATGCTCGAGCTAAAGCTCCAAGACTCCGAAGAATTCCCATTACGGTTCCCTTCTGACTGGCTGAGCCTAAGACATCAACACAGACATCATTAACACCATCACACATTCAAACTAACAGAAGTGTGAGAGATCATTACCATCATTATTAAAGGGACAGTTCAAGAAATAAAAAATTATTTCATTGTTTCCTCATCCTCATGTTGTTCTAAACCTAAGTGACATTTTCTTTTCTGTGGAACATAAAAGAAGATATTTTGAGAAATGTCTCGTTTTTTGTCGATACAATGGAAGTCAATGGTAACCAAACCTATTTGGACACCACAATAAAAAAATAAAAATAAACTTATTTTTTTGTACCACAGAAGAAAACAAGCCGATTTTCATTTTTTGGCAAACTATCCTTTTGAAGGGATAGTTCACAGAAAATGTTTGTGTTTAAAATGTTTTTAATAGGGAATCCAACAATTTGACAATCATTGTTACATCACTTTTTATGATTCCTCATTATAAACAAAGGCATAAAGGCTACATAAAACAAATAAATAAGTAAAAATAAATAAATAAATAAATAAAAAACAGTTCTCATTACCACTCACCCCACCCCACTTTAACTTTCTTAAAACTTTAAACAGATAAGACCACTCCAATTGGTCAAAAGCTTTCTCTGCGTCAAGAGAAACTATAACCAGGTCCTCTGCATGTGTGTTGTGGGAGTAAACTATATTAAAAAGACGTCTAAGATTTGAAAAGGAGTGCCTATTTGGTATAAAACCTGTCTCATCGAGGTGAACAAGTTTATCAATTACAGACCGAAGCCTGTTGGACAAAGCTTTTTTGGGTCACATGTTAAAAAAGAAATTGGCCTGCTACTTACTTCTTCAGGATCTTTCTCCTTTTTAAGTAATACTGTTATGGTAGCGTCGTTTAGCATACCAATGGTATTTGCATGAGTATACATTTTAAATAAATAAAGTGAAAAGAGATCACTGAATCGAAAATGTTTCATTCTATTATTCATCACCCTGATTTTTTTTTTCTGAAACCGTAAGACTTTTGTTCATCTTCAGAAAATAAATGATGATATTTTTAAAGAAATCTGAGAGATTTCTGTCCTTCCATTGACAACAATGCTACTGACACTTTGACACTTTGCTTCAAAAAAGGTCATAAAAATATTGTAAAACTAATCCATATGAATTAAGCAGTTAAGCAGTCCAAACTTTTCTGAAGAGACATTTATTCACATAAAAACATTCATCAACGCACACATCAGTTGTGGTTAACAGAAGCTCAAGCATGTTCGCTTGATGTGTGAAAACCAGTGAGGTTCATTCTTGTGTTACGCAGCACGTTTGAGCTTCCGCAAGAACCAAAGAGGTTTGTTCTCTTACAGTGCGTCATGCAGGTTTGGTTGAGATTCTGTTTATGTTCGCTGAGCAAAAGCCTAAATTCAATCTGTCCATCATATAAAGCAATAGTGTCTCTTCAGGAAATTTTGGACTAAACCACTCAATTCATATGGATTAGGTTTACGATCTCTTTATGAACACTTTATGAAGAGTCAGTTGAGGAGTTGTCAATGGAAGGACAGAAATCGCTCAGATTTCATCAAAAAGATCTTCAATTGTGTTCTGATCTGAAGATGAATGAAATTCTTACAGGTTTGCAACATCATGAGGGTGAGTGGTTACATTTTTGGGTGAACTATCCCTTTAAGTAATGACCTCTCAAAAAAACTACAGAATGGATAAAATCTTAAAGGGATAGTTCACTTTGAAATTAATTTTTTATATGTTTTAGCTTACCTCAAGGACATCCAAGATATAGTTGTCTTTGTTTCCACAGTATTTTCAGTTTTGATATTTTTAGGTTGTTGCCTATCAGTCATATAATGGAGGTTTATGGGGTCCACCTCAAAGAGCATGCCCAGAGAAGTCCAAATTAAACATGATTTAATCACTAGTAAATGTAAGTACACATTGATGGCCTAAGACACGAAACGAGCGGTTTGTGTGAGAAAACGAACAGTATTTTTATCGTTTTGCGCAGACCGAAGTGCTCGTGCCTTCAGATCACTTGGACGTGGCTGTGGTTACAAGAGGTAAGAGGATCATTTTTAAAGAGACACGATACTCGTGTAAAGTTTTTCATGTCTAAGCCCATCAATGTGTACTTACATTTACGAGTCATTAAATCATGTTTAATTTGGACTTCTCTGTGCATGCTCTTTGAGGTGAACCCAGGGTGGGCCCCCTATACAGCCATTATATGACTGATAGACAAGAACGGTTTGACCTAAAAATATCAAAATTGAAAATACTGTGGAAACAAAGACACCTACATCTTAGATGCCCTTGAGGTAAGCTAAAACATATCAAAAAATTAATTTCAAAGTGAACTATCCCTTTAAGGCACTCAACAACAAAGCAACCCACCATGTTCAGACACTTGTGTTGAAAGGCATGGAACAACAATAGCAGCAGCTGAATGAATAAATACATCAATTATTTCAAATTGAAATACTAATGCAAAAAAATAATAATAATAACAATGATAACAATGCATTTGCATGCACAATTGCTTACCAAAAGAGTACAAAAATAAGCCTGAATAGAGTAGTGTCAAATTCCATGCTATTCCAATGAGCAAGAAGGCTGGTACAAGTGATATAATTGCCTGAAATACACAAACATGAAAACAAATATGTAGTCATAATGTGCAGGCCTTTGAGTAGTTAATCATTAGAGTTCCAAGAAAACCGCAAGACAATTTGAATTGACTTGTGATCCAGTGATGCATGAAAGAATTTACCACGCGAACAGTCTGGATCTGATGACCTGGTTTGATCCTGCGGGCATATCCGCCCTGGATCACTGCCATGGTAATGCCGATGAAAAAGAACATCTTCCCCTGCTGCATGCTACAACAGAAGAAGGCAGTGTTTGACTTTACAAAACCTCAGGCAAGACCCAGGCTTCAGCTGCTCAAGGATACATGTATGTCACAGTTCTGATTAAGCAAAACATATCTCAGACTGTTCATTGGTATATTATCCTAGGGGCTGCTAACACTTTTCTTCGACCTTTGCTCAGTTCCTTTCCCCCATTCTAGTTGTTTATGATTTATAATAAATTCTCCAAAACTTCCTGGTTCCTAATGACTACATACAAATAAACCCACAGGCTGTTTTTCTCAACTTCCTGGGTCACATCTCATGGTTTAAGCCCTGAACTGTCAACGGATGGTTTATCTGTTGAAGACAATGGCATGCTTTGTAATGTTAGACTTCTCTTTGAATGCTGTTAGCAGCACAAACCACAGCTTTTATAGGCGTTTTGTAGAAGTTGTGACATTCAGAAAAGTTGTGTTAGCTATAGATTCAGGCCTTACCTGGTAAACTGGAAGCGCTGATGAGTCAGAAAACTCAAGGTGAATTCTAACCCAGAGAAGAGAAATAGGTATGTGAAGTAAACCAATCCCAGCACCTTGAGATTTTGCATTTCTATTGTGAAGAAAAGTCATCAGAAAAAAAAAAAAGTTAGTGTGACAGATCTTTTGTTATTCAACCTGGTGGTTCAATACTTCTCGGTTGGGTGAAACTTTATGCGCTCACTTTGTTCAGATGGTGGATTCTCTGTTCTTGTGACGGCAGTGAATTTGAAAAGTGCAACAGGGTGAAGAAGATCTCCAGATTGTTGAATACCTGAAGATCCCGATGCCCTCTGAGTCATAAAAAGCATTCATTACATTTAGAATTAAAGAAAATGCTATAAACAATTAAAATTAAGTTGAAGTCTATTCTGAAAGTGATTAAAGTTGCAATGTAATGGAAGTAGCACCAGATATTTTCTTCCATAATGTGACACATCTGAGTGATGATTAAAATGAAGGGTTGGGATTCGGTTCTATCCATCAGTTGTTGATTGGATGGAGGCAGATCTGAATGCAAGCGTGACAATAAACACACTAGTTTGTATCGCAATTGTTAGACTGTTTACCGCGTTTTAAAGAGATACTCCACTTTTTTTGGAAGTAGGCTCATTTTACCACTCCCCCAGAGTTAAACAGTTGAGTTTCA